ATCAGGCTCTTCTCCAGGGAGTCCTTCCTTCTCATTAGGTGGCCAAAGTACTTGAGTTTCAACTTCAGGATCTGGCCTTCTCAAGAGCAGTCGGGGTTGATCTCCTCTAGGACTGACCGGTTGGATTGCCTTGCAGTCCAGGGGACTTGCAGGGGTCTTCTCCAGCATCATAGTTCAAAGACCTCAATTCTTTGGCACTCAGCCTTTCTTATGGTCCAACTTTCAGAACATCTGGGTCTCCCAAATCTCCTTTGTCTCTACTTTCATTAGGAGCTTTGCAACTTTTTAGGATGAAGTCAGGTCTCTAGATTGAATGAACAAATTTTCAGCGTTTGGAATCCCAATCTTGAAATGTTCTTTGCTTGAGATCTTCCCTTTCTCTTTTGACTTACTGTAGCACATTTTTCTTGGAGTTTATTTGTTGTCTGTTATAGTTTCTGTTCCCTTCCATCCATTGTGTCTTTTCTCTTCATTTGTGCTGAGCATTCATTCTTCAACCTTCCGGACTCTAAGCTTGCGTGTTTTGGAGGCCAACAAGGTGCATGCATTATATCTTTCATAGCACCACATGTGAATTTGACAGCCCTAAAAATAGCCTCTGAGAAGCCTGTCCTTATAACTCAGCTTTTCTCCTGCTTCTTCCCTAGCACAAACCATGTGTTTAAAGTTTGGCTATTGTTTGGCAGGATAGTCAGAGGCCCCAGGAACAGGGACACGATAGGAGAACTCTTTTGCTGAGGAAATTCATAACAATGGAGCAGAATTGGCTTTAAAGGCCATTATATTCAGCCTTTTTTTTCCTGGAAAACTCCCCCTTTGCCTTGGGCTCATTGGAATTCTTAACTTTTGACCATCCCGCCACTATGCCTTCTTCTTTTGATCTGGGTTTCTTCTGGAATTGAGTAAAAACATGCAGTTGTATTTTATAGCTTATGTTGGGGAATATAGGAATAAGTGCAGACATTCAGGCTAAAAGATCAGGTAGTGTTTTGTTGACTGCGGCTAGCCTGGTCCTAGCTTAGCCTTGGAAAAACAGAACTTATGATTTTGGACAGGTTCAAAATGTGTGGTGTGTTGATCTAGCAAAGAGGTCAATAGATGCAGAGGTCAATAGATGCAGGGTTTCAGTTTGATCAAGTAAAAGCCAATACAGGTAGTCCTCAACGTACGACCATAATTGAGCCCAAAATTTCTGTTGCTAAATGAGACATTTGTGAAGTGAGGTTTTCCCCTTTTCCCGACTTTTCTTGCCACCGTTGTTAAGAGAATCACTGCAGTTGTTAAGTTATTAATACAATTGTTAAGTGGATTCCCCACTGACTTTGTCAGAAGGTCACAAAAGGTGACCACATGACCCCCCCCACCGGTGAGTCAGTTGCAAAGCATCTGAATTTTGATCACGTGACTATGGGAATGCTGTAATGGTCGTAAGTGTGAAAAACAGCCATAAGTCACTTTCTTCAGGGCTGTTGTAACTTTGAACAGCCACTAAACTAAACTGTTGTACTGTTTTTACATATGGCGGTAGCTCTCAGCTTACAAACACAATTCGGTCCAGCATTTCAGTTGCTAACCAAGGCAATTGTTAAGCAAATCGTTCCATTTTTTAAAGTGAATCACACTCAAATTGAGAGCATTTGGCTTCCCTCATTAACTTTGCTTCTTGGAAGCCAGCTGGGAAAGTCGCAAGTTGTGATCACAATAACCTGGGGATGCTGCACATGCAGGCTAGCTGCCAATTGCCTAAATGTTGGCCACATAACTGGGGATGCCACGGCAGTCCTAAGTACAAGGACAAGTCATAAAGTCTGCTTTCAGTGCCATTGTACCTTGGAATGGTCGCTAAATCGATGGCTGTAAGTCGAGGACTACCTGTAAAACAGCGGTTCTCAACCTATGGGTCGCGACCCCATTTGGGGTCGATCGACCATTTCACGGGGGTCGCCAAGCAAGGCTGTCCGCCATTTTTTTCCCCTTTTACGGCGGGTGCCTTACCTCCCTTGGGCTGGGCCAGCTGGTGGCCCAGCCGGTGGTCGGCCTGCTCTGTCTCTGCTGCTTGCCAGCTACGCCTCGGTCGGCGCAGGGGGTGGCACCATGCATGCGCGGGGCTCCCGGGCAGGGAAAGTCCTCGACTTACGATCGGTTTAGTTCTCGGCTTATGACCAGTTGGGGGTCGCAGCATTAAAAAGGTTGAGAACCACTGCTGTAAAACAAGCTGGGGAATAATAGCTCTCCTCCACTGGCTGAATATATTAATATGTGTAGGAACATTAAGGCAATAAATAATGTTCGACTTTGTGGTCCTTTTATAAAACAGGCATGCATCTTCTCGTATAGATGGATGATGTAAAATTAATAATTTAGTTAAACGTAGTCTTAAAATACCTACAAAACGGCTTATAGGACTTAGGCAGGAGTCTTTTTCCAATTTCCTCAGGAGTTCAGCCACTCCTTGGTTAACGACCACCCATTCAGCAAATGTTCAAAGTTATCATCACTGAATGAGTGATACCCTGTCTCCCCAAAAGTAAGGCCTACCCCAAAAATAAGCCCTAGCTTGATTTTTGGAGGTGGGCCTAATATAAGCCCTATCCCAAAAATCAGCCCTAGTTTTGGGGTGAGACACCTAAAAATCAAGCTAAGGTGGGGATGGGAGTGTGGATCTGCCCCATGCGCCCCACACCCGCTTACGTTGCAGCCAGGCCTCTCCTTGCTGGCCCATTTCTTCTCTGGCATCTTCTGCAGCCAGACCTGCATTTCGTAGTCAGGCCTTTCCAAGAAGGCCACTGCAGCCGAGAACCGAGCTATGGATTCAATCCATAGCTCAGTTCCGCAAGAGATCTGCAACTGAGGACTGAGCTATGGATTGAATTCGTAACTCAGTCCTCAGCTGCAGAGGCTGACTTTAACTACACGGTAGTTACGACTGGTTTTCGGAGTTCTAGGTATCCCAGCTTCCATGTGGTCATGCAATCATGATTTGGGTGCTTGACAACTAGTCCCCAGTCATGTGATTGCCATTGGCCACCTTCCAATAGCTTCTTTGCTCAGCCTGTATACAAGAATCTAGTCAACCAAAGTTCTGTACTAAATTGGTGCCAGATAAGGGTGAATGGAATGTTTGTGGGAACATAAGGATTCCAAACTGATGACTCATTTAACTCTGCCTGCTCTTTTCCTACAACTTTTTCCCCAGAGGCCACGCTACTAAAATGTTATGTTGAGTAACATTCCTCTGGGAGTTTATAGCAGTTTGAAGGCTGATGCTGAAAGGTGTAGGTTTGTTTATTATTAACACACTCTTTGAGGATAAGTGATAGCAGGAAATAATATTTCCTTTCTTTCTTTAGCATGGCAGCTGTGGTTTCTTTTCTAACATGTATTTCAAAAAATACAGTAGAGATCAACAAAGATCTGAAGACATTACCAAATCTGTAATGAAAATGAACAGAAAGGAGTTACTTTCCCCTTGCATTAAATAGGCGCTCCAAATGAAGACGACCTACTCTGGGCAGTCCTTCAGGTGTGGTTGATTTACAATTCCTAACTCTCTCAACATTGGTGAAACATTCAGCAACATCTGGAAAGCATAGTTGGTTTACATTTAATCCACACAGAAGGTTTAGAGCAGGGATAGGCAACCTTGGCTCTTTTATGACTTGTGAACTTCAACTCCCAGAATTCCTGAGCCAGCATGAGGGAAATTATGGCCCCTTCATGACTGGTGGACTTCAACTCCCAGAATTCCTGAGCCAGCCTGGCTCAGCTTGGAAACCTCTCCCTTTCCCCTCAGCATAGCTGGCTCAGGAATTCTGGGAGTTGAAGTCCACGAGTCATAAAAGAGCCAAGGTTGCCTACTCCTGGTTTAGAGTAACAGGTAGTCTTTGATTTACGACTACAGTTGTGACCAGAATTTCTGTTGTTAAGCAAGGCAGTTGGTCATGCCCAATTTTACAGCTTTTTTTTTTTTTTTTTTTTGGGCCAGGGTTGTCAAGCAAATCATTGCAGTTGTTAATTGAATCACGTGGTCATTAAGAGAATCTGGCTTCCCCCATTGACTTTGCTTGCTGGAAGTTAGCTGGGAAAGTTGTAACGACAATCACATGATTCTGGTCATTCTTTCCATGATTCTACAACTGTTGTAAATAAGTATCAGTTGCCAAGCACCCAAACTTGGGTCAGGTGACCGTGGAAATGCTGTTTTGGTTGTAAGTGTGAGGACAACAAATGATTTTAAGTCAAGGAGTGTATGTAGAGTCTTCCCCGTTTCTATCCAGGGGGATTGGATTGAAGCTAAACCCTTCGTATGCAAAACAACATTTGCCATGGAGGTAGAATTTCTTTTCACATCTGTCTTATCCGCGGGTAACTTAAAACTAATCCAGTTTTCTGAGGCATGCAATACACTCAATTATAAACTAATTACATTGGCCCAGTTCGCTTTTGAAAAAAAGAGAAGAAGCTAAAATGTGATTTGAACGCTGCTTCTCTTACAAGCTTGATTTCCCCCCCCCCCCCAATGTCATGGCAAGGACAAGACATGGTTCAAAAAAAAAAAAAAGGATTTTTTTTTGCAATTTTCTCCCGAAATGCTTTATAGGCGAATCAGTATGGGATGGCATTTATTTTCAATAAATGTGGAGGAAAAGCCATGAGAAAAATGGGGTTGACAAAAGGACGTAATAAAACAAGCAGCACCTTCCGGGGTTACATCAAAGTGTAATCCTGTATTTTGATTTGTGTTGTGCCAATGTGATAGCTCTGGAGTTCTTGTAGACCGGGGTGGGGTAGGCAGGAAGTCTGATGCACACATGGAAGTGTGATGGGGAGGGGGCACCTTTTCCGTACTGAAACATGTGGTACATTGAATGCTCTAGAACCTGGGCAACTTGGAAGACTTCTGGACTTCAATTCCCAGAATTCCAGAGCCAGCCATTGTGGAATTCTGGAAGTTGAAGTCCACAAGTCTTCAAGTTGCCAAGTTTGAGCATCCTTGCTCGAAGGCTAAGCAATGCTGGGTGGAGAATTCTGGGAGTCTACAAGTCTTAAATTGCCAAGGTTGGACACCTGTTGTCTGGACGCTCTAAAATGTTTGCTGGTTTCTCACATCTCTCTTATCTCTTTCTCTCTCTCTCCCCCCATCCTTCTCTCTCTTTCTTTCCTCCGCTTCTCCTTTTTCTTTCTTTAGCAGTTGCTGCAGGCACTTACCTGCCACCCCTCCAGCAGGTATTTCAAGCTCCTCGTCGGCCTGGGATAGGAACTGTTGGGAAGCCCATCAAGCTCTTGGCCAACTATTTTGAGGTGGACATTCCTAAAATCGATGTCTATCACTATGAAGTTGACATCAAGCCGGACAAGTGTCCACGCAGAGTCAACAGGTAAGGCAAGTATTCGCATTTAGCCATTTCTTCTTCCCTCCAGCCCTCACTGGGGAAAAAAAAAACACACACACCTCAGGTGAACATGTTCCTCATGTTCTAGAGGAAGGGTGTTCAATCTAGGCAACTTTAAGACTTGTGGACTTCAATTCTCGGAATTCTCCAGCCAGCTTGAAGTCTGTGGCAGTTGAAGTCCACAGGTCTTAAATGTCTATGGAGATTCTCAATCACCCAGGTCATGGTTGTCCCAAAGGTGCTTTTTCAAAAGGCAACTGGACTTGCTTGTTTTGCTTGAAGAACTGAAGAGGCTTTTTGGATGAGAAGCAAAATGTCTTCAAGCAAAACAAGAAAGTCCAGTTGCCTTTTGGAGAAGTGTCTTTGAGACACAGGTCTTAAAGTTGCCAAGGTTGGACTCCTCTGTTCTGCTTGTGGGCTGGGAGGGGATAGGCAGAGAAAAAAGGTATGTAGAGCCATCTCTTCCTGTCTGTTGCCAAGTTTTGAGAAAGTCCAATTTTTTTTGGCCTAGCTGTTTCAGCCTACCTGGGTGCTTGGCCCTGTTCAGGTTTGGTGTGACTGGAGCTGCTGTTGTTGCTTAGGTTGGCTGAGAGTAAGATGAAATTTTTCGATGCCCCCCTCTCCTGTTAAGCAGGGTGTTTTATGTCCCTTCTCCTCCCTCATCATCTCCAGTCATGCCTTGGTGGCTCAGGAGAAAACAGAGCCTTGATCTTCATCTCCGGTCAGTTTACAGCAGCTGGGTGGAGCTGGCTGTGGTCCCAGGCTTTTAAAATAGCTGCTCTTAGACAGCTGGGCTGCCATTTAAATACTCTTCTTCCTGTAGTTTTAAAGCTGGGAGAGTCACAAATGCAAGGGGAGCTTGTGCAAAAGTATGAAGCTACTCACAGCTTTCCGAAGTCTTAAGAGTTGGAAGGGCCATGGAAGTCTTTGATGCCAAGTCTCTTCTCAGTGCAAGACTCTACAGGAAGTCCTTGACTTAGGACTGTAATTGAATAGAAAATTATGGTCGTAAGATGTTAACGATTGTAAGTTGAGGCATCACGTCACCAGATTTGAAATAACTATTTTTATTTTTTACAATGGTGGTTAAGTGAACCCTGCAGGCATTAAGTGGATATATTTTCCCCAAAGGATGCTTTTTTTCTTCTTTTTTGTTGCAAGTAAACACAGGAAACTTGGCAAAAACTTCCCAAATTGTGCACAACATCCCAAACTGTGCACAAATTGTAAAGATGAGCCAATGGGCCAGTTGTCAGGTGGTCCAAAATTCAACTAAGGGAACACGTACAGCTGTTGTAACTCTGAAAATGGGTCATAAGTAATTTTGGGGATGTCCATCACAACCTGGAATGGCCATTAAAGGACCGGTTGTAAGTCGAGTCAAAAAAGACAACTGGCCAACTGCAACTGCATCATGTAAGTTGCATATCCTTCTGAGTTTTTTGATACCCCCTGTGCTGAAAAAAACACACTTTCCCAACCCAATGTAATCCAATTTACTATATTAAATATGTTTGACTGTGATTGTATTACACAGTGGTCGGCGGTGCAGACTTTATAAATTCAGCGTGCTTGTGTTTGTCCTAGCCAGTCCACGCACAACAGGCAATTTTGTTAAGCCTGCTTTAGATCAAAGCTCTTAGTTTCTGCCCTGACTTGAGAAATAGCGGGGTTTACCTCCGGCTCTCAGTTCTAACTACCTTAGCTTCCTAGCAGAATTATATTTAAGTCCGTCTTTCTAGCTTCTCCTTTTTCTTTCCTCCTCTCCCTGTCCGATGTCTGTCTGTTGCTTTTTTTTTATTTTTGCAGGGAGGTTGTGGAATATATGGTACAACACTTCAAACCTCAGATCTTTGGGGACCGGAAACCGGTGTACGATGGAAAGAAGAACATCTACACCGTCACAGCTCTACCTATTGGAAACGAAAGGGTAAGAAGATAAAAGGAAGGCGCAAAACCCCTTTTAGATGCGGAATAGGTTGTCTGACGGTAAAAGACATTCTGAATGTAATAGAGCAGAGATTCCCAACCTTGGCTACTTTATGACTTGTGGACTTCAACTCCCAGAAGTTGAAGTCCACAAGTCATAAAGTGGCCACGGTTGGGGACCCCTGTACTAGAGCTACTTGGAACTCAACGTTCTTCTGGTGTGGTCAGAACACTTCCATAAGTTATGAATTCAAAATGTTTTCCATTAAGGGGGGAAAAAAAGGATGAAACAACTCTTAGTGTTCCTGTTCTGAAAGCAAGAAATATTTGCACGTGTGAAGTCCCGGTTAGGATGTTAAACCAGGAAGAGATTGACCCAGCCAGCCATGGAAACTCACTCTTAGCCTGCTCATTCTCAGACCAACTTACCTTACAGGATGATTATGTGGGGGGGGGGGAATCAAAGGAGGAAAGATTACAATCTAACAAATAAACACAGATAGTCCTTGAGTTACAACTGGTCACATTTACCTCAGTTTGCTGTGTCCTGTGGTCACATGACCACATTTTATGACAGCTCTGCTGAAAACTGGCAATTACCACCAATGGTTCTCTTAACGACCCACTGCAAAAAAGTTTGTAAAAGTGGGTTGCCCACATGACTGACCCATTTTATGACCATTACGACTTGTGTCCGTGAAGGGCAGCCTCCCTTACGATCGCACGTAGAGGATCGCCTATAATAGCATGCTTGCTTCCTTGCTTTTTCTTGTTTGCAGGACATGGCTGCGATTCAGAACGAACAGATTTTGGGTTTTTTCAAGAGAGTTCTAGGTTCAAAATTTGGATTGTTCCAGGAATATGCAAAGCAGGTGACAGCACGTTACATTTTTAGATTAAGGGAAGGAAACCAAAATTCAAGGGTTCGTCTTGTTTCCTTGGTCCATTGCAGGTTGATTTTGAGGTGACAATTCCAGGGGAAGGCAAAGACCGAATATTTAAAGTCTCCATTAAATGGATGGCCATTGTGAGCTGGCGGATGCTCCATGAAGCTCTAGTGAGTGGGCAAATCCCTGTTCCTTTGGAATCTGTCCAGGCCCTTGATGTTGCCATGAGGCACCTGGCTTCCATGAGGTAAAATCTAGTTCTTTGATATGTTTGAAAAATGAATACCAAGAAGGTACTCATAACTAGCTTGAGATGTGTCTCACTTCTATTCGGTAATCTGCTGACCTAACATCCCTCTTATGTAATAATTTTTTTTGGGGGGACACCATGAATAAAGATCAAGAACCTCTTCATAAGATCATTTCCAGAAATTTTTAGGGGAGGAAAGGACAAAATAAGAGTTCTTTCATATACATTTCACTGAAATATGATAAAAGCACCAGTATTATATAAATCGGGGATAGGCAACCTTGGCTCTTTTATGACTCATGGACTTCAACTCCCAGAATTCCTGAGCCAGCCACACTGAGGGGAAAGGGAGAGGTTTCCAAGCTGAGCCATGCTGGCTGAGGAATTCTGGGAGTTGAAGTCCACGAGTCATAAAGTGGCCTAGGCCTAGGCCAGAGGTAGGCAACCTGCTCTTTTATGACTCATAGACTTCAACTCCCAGAATTCCTGAGCCAGCCATGCTGAGGGGAAAGGGAGAGGTTTCCAAGCTGAGCCATGCTGGCTGAGGAATTCTGGGAGTTGAAGTCCACGAGTCATAAAAGAGCCAGGTTGCCTACCTTTGGCCTAGGCCTAGGCTGCTTTATGACTGCTGGACTTCAACTCCCAGAATTCCTGAGTCAGCATGGCTCAGCTTGGAAGCCTCTCCCTTTCCCCTCAGCATGGCTGGCTCAGGAATTCTGGGAGTTGAAGTCCACGAGTCATAAAAGAGCCAAGGTTGCCTAAACCTGATATAAATGTTTCAATAATTTCTAGATATGGAAATAGGATCTGGGCTTTGCATCTTCTTAGAAGATGAGAATAATATTGATTCTGTTGTGCCTCAATTGAAATCAAAGTTGTTGTGAGCTTTCATGAGCGGGTAACATGGCTCCTTGTTTCTAATGATCTTCCCAGATACACTCCAGTGGGGCGTTCCTTCTTCTCTCCCCCTGAAGGATACTATCACCCGCTGGGAGGAGGCCGAGAGGTCTGGTTTGGCTTCCATCAGTCTGTCAGGCCGGCCATGTGGAAGATGATGCTCAATATAGACGGTAATCATCCTTACACATCTCTGTTTGAAGGCATACCTACAGGTAGTCCTCAGCTTACGACCACCGTTGAGCCCAAAATTTATGTTGCTAAGTGAGAAATTTGTCAAATTTGAGTTTTGCCCCCTTTTACGACTTTTCTTGCCACGTTTGTGAAGCGAATCATTGCAGTTGTTAAATTAGTAACATAGTTGTTAAGTGAATCTGGTTTCCCCATGGACTTGGCTTGTCCCAAGGTCACAAAAGAGGATCGCATGACTCTGGGGCACTGCATCCGTCATAAGTGTGAGTCGTCAAGCAATTGAATGTAAATCACGTGACCCTGGGGATGCTGCAATGGTCACAAGTGTGAAAAATGATCAATAGTCATTATTTTCACTGCTGTTGTAACTTTGAACGGTCACTAAATGGACTGTTGTGAGGGCTACCTGTATCAATAAGAGTCTGTGAGAAGCTCAGTGTTCTGTACAACCATCCCACATTTAATATGGTCCAGTCTCAGTAATTTTAACATGTGTGAACTTCATCCTGGGAAATTCTAGGGCAGTGATGGCGAACCTTTTAGAGACCGAGTGCCCAAACTGCAACCCAAAACCCATTTATGCATTGTTCGTTGGGTGCCGGGTGGATGTGGCCCATTGGCTGGGTGTGGCCAATCGGGTGGGCGTGGCCCATTGGGCGGGCATGGCTGCGGTGGTAACGGCAGACTGGGTGGGACTAAAAAGTTCAATCAATCAATTCCAACTTTGCAAGATCTTTTTTTTCCCGCGAGAAGTTGAAATTGACTGATTGAACCTTTTTTTTTCTTTTTGCACATGGTGGTGGAGGCCTAAAGCGAAAAGGTTTTATAAAACCCAGCTGAAGGCCTAGGACTGGGGCGACGGCATGCGTGCCCACAGAGAGGGCTCTGAGTGCCGCCTCTGGCACCCGTGCCATAGGTTCGCCACCACTGTTCTAGGGAATGCTAGTAGTTGAAGTCCACACACCTTAAAGCTGCTGAGGTTAAGAATAACTCTTAGACGTCCATTTCCATAATTCCCAATGAGCGAAATTCAACATATCTGGGTAATATTGGATAAGAGGACGCTCCACTGCTCCTTCCCCCTCATGTTTCAGGTTGTATTGCAATGTTTTAACTTGATAATCTCAATGCAGAGTTGTTTTGACAGCTTGTGAAAGGTCTCACTAAAAACCTTTAGGAGGAATTTCTGAAAAGACCAGAGGAAAAAACATTCAGTTAAACAATTTCAGTAACATTTCATGTTCTTTGGAAGGCTCAGAATGCTTTTAATATGCATTTTAGAGGGCTTCAGGGATAAGGCTCTTGGTTTTGATCTGCTAATCAAGTTATGTGTGTCTTACAATCCCATGGGAGCAAAAAAAAAAAAAAAATTGAACTTCTTAAAGAGAATGTCATCCCTTATTTTGGGGAAAAAAGACTTTTGTAGAATTTGTAGTTAAAAAGAGATAAGGCAGTGGTTCTCAATCTTTTTAATGCCGCGACCCCCCAACCGGTCGTAAGTCAAGGACTATTCAACCAGTGGTAAGTTGAGGACTACTCAACCGGTCATAAGTCGAGGACTACTCAACTGGTGCAGCACCGTTTGCAGAATGGGACTTTTGGCAGGTTCAGCAGGGCAGAGACAGCCTGGACAATTCCTATTGGCTTTTGAAAGCCAATAGAATTAGACTCTATTCAAGAGAGTCTATTCCATTGGCTTTCAAAAGCCAATAGAATAAAAGGGAGTAGCACAGCTAAGGAAAAGGGGGGGAAAAATGGCGGACTGCGTTGTTTGGCGACCCCCGTGAAATGGTCATTCGACCCCAAATGGGGTCCCAACCCACAGGTTGAGAACCACTGAGGTAAGGGATCCTGATAAATTCTAGAAGATATCGTTGATTGACTAATCTAGAAGTTAAAGAGTAGGCTTTGGTTCCATAGCCATTAACATTACAGAAGAATAAATTATACATCTCTGTTACTAAAAGGAATAATTAAAAATCTTGAGTGACTAGAGGAAGAACTTTCATTGGGAGCATCTTGTTGGTATTAAGAATCTGAAAAGGTGTAGCAAGAGAATTAAAGAGCTTAATTCTTATAAGGCAGTGTTTCCCAAACTTGACAATTTTAAGGCATGAGGACTTCAACTCCCAGAATTCCACAGCCAGCAACGCTGGCTGTGGAATTCTGGGAGTTGAATTCCACATGTCTTAAAATTGTCAAGTTTGGGAAACACTGTTATAAGGTGTTTGGATAAGAATTATAAAATTGTAGATACACTGCAAAAGCCAAGAGTAGCTGAGGACTTTGTCTGTCTGCTTAGTTTGAACAAGGGTGATTCAATGGTTGTGAGAATTGATACTTAACACCTTTCTCTGCTTAGTATCCGCCACGGCGTTCTACAAGGCTCAACCTGTGATTGAATTCATGTGTGAAGTCCTGGACATCCGGAACATTGACGAACAGCCAAAGCCTTTGACTGATTCTCAGCGGGTCCGCTTCACAAAGGAAATCAAAGGTAAATAATAAAGTCAGGGAATTTTAAACAAAAACCCACAGAGACTTGGCCAGGCAGCGGCCAGGAATCGGGACTGATTTGAATGCAGCACCAACAACAAAAATTGGAGACCGATACAGCATCCCAACTGAGATTTCTGCTCAGGGTTTTCTTAAGCTTGTACAAAAGCTGAACTATTGAATGCAGGTAGTCCTTGACTTACGACCAGTCAAAGTTATGACTTACCTGGAAAAAAGGAAGGATGACCCAGTTCTAAAGTTGTGACAGTCCCTCCCTCCACACAGCCACTTGAATGCACTTCAGGCATCTGCAACACAGCTGCCTTTACAGCCCTTTGCAGTGTCCTGCAGTCATGTGATCACATTTGATCATGGCTTTGCCAATAACCGGAAGTTGCTTCCGGTTTTTGGCACGACTATGCCATGGCAAACAATGGGTTCACTTACTGACTTCAGGGCTCCTTTAATGACTATGGTGATCACAAGTGCCAAGTTTATTTATTTATTTATTTATGAGACTTATATACCGCTTTAAGTGCAAGCACTCTCTAAGCGGTATACACCAGTAAGCAATGTATATATATATATTTACATTGCCCCCAACAATCTGGGTCCTCATTTTACCTACCCCGGAAGGATGGAAGGCTGAGTCAAAGTTCATTTAATGACTGCTGCTGCTGCCAAAAAAGGTCGTAAAGTCGGGTTGAGCATGTGAGCGACTCGATTTATGACCATCACAACATAAGACCATACTGGGCAAACTCCTTTACGGTCATATGTTGAGGACTACCTGTAGTGGGAGGAGCAGAAGGCGGAGGAAAAGAGTGAGAACAAAATTGCTTCTGATTCGTAGCGCCATGGCGAGAGCTTTGAAAAGAATAGCTGGGATCTGGGGAAAACCCCAGCTTTTCCGTGGCAAAGAAGGGGGTGAGTAGAAAGAGGCCCTCTGCAATTCTTGGAACCTCACCCAAGATTTACACCAGGTTTTCCTCTTATATGTAGGCATAGTTTTAGTACAGCAATGGAGCTTTTCTAAGTTGCTGCCTTTCTTCCTTCCCACTTAAAACAGTGGAAGCGTAAACATTTTGGCAGTGGGCAGATGGGGGAAGAAATTAGCATGAGCAAGAGCACTTAAACTATATACCACCCCATAGTGCAGGGGTAGGCAACCTCGACTCTTTTATGACTCGTGGACTTCAACTCCCAGAATTCCTGAATCAGCGTTGCTGATTCAGGAATTCTGGGAATTGAAGTCCACGAGTCATAAAAGAGCCGAGGTTGCCTACCCCTGCCATAGTGCTTTATAGCAGGGGTCCTCAACCCCCGGTCTGTGGATCGGCATCGGGCTGTGGCAACCGGGCCACGCAAACAAATGAAGCCCCATCCATTGGATGTAGACAGGACATGAAACCACGTCCCCTCTTGTCCGTGGAAAAATATTTCTCCACAGAACCGGTCCCTGGAGCCCAAAAGGTTTGGGGGCCTCTACTTTATAGCACTCTCTAAATGGTTTACAAATGTTAGCATGTTGCCCCCAACAATTTAAGTCCTCATTTTACTGACCTTGGAAGGATGGAAGGCTGAGTCAACCTTTCAGCCCTGTCAAGATCAAACTCTAGGCTGCGGGCAGAGCTTGCCTGCAGTCCTCCATTCTAACCACTGCGCCACCAGGACTCAGATTATGCAGATATCTGCTTGAATGGAAAGACCTCTGTGTGAAAATAAGCGAGCAGAGGTAGATAGTAGAGGATTATACCGTGTTTTCCCAAAAATAAGACCGGGCCTTATATATATTTTGGGGGGGACCAAAAGACCCATTAGGTCTTATTTTCAGGGGATGTCTTATGTCTCCCATGTACAACAGGTGGCGAGCGCGTGGGGGCGGGGCGGGACGACGCTCGGTACAAACAGTGGGGCGTGGCCTGCGCATGGGGTGGAGACGCAGAGCTTCGAAGTGCGGTGGTGATTGGGCCAACCTCGGAGCGTGGGGGCGGACCTACTACCGGTATGAGAGAGTTCGGGGGGGCGTGTGCCCTTCCTGTGCCAGGCCAGCCCCTGCAGCTCTGGGGCGGCCGTGCTGGGTGGCGGCGGAAAGGGCACCAAGGCGGGGGTGGCCAGGCTGACACTCCTCCGGGCGGAGTGGGGGTCTTGGAGTTGGGGATGCTGGAGGGCTGCCATTCCTGGCCCAGCCTGCCCAAGAGATGAGTGGGGAGGCAGCAGCGCAGGGCGGAGCCCCGGAGCTTTGAGGAGGATGCTGAAGTGGGTGGGCATCCTGCTTGCCGGCTGCCCCTTTCCCGCCAGAGCTGGAATGCCACTGCATTTCAGTAGATGCCGGGCTTGCCCTCCGGTGGCCCTGGGGAGCGATGGGCCCGTTTCAGCGCCTGGAGCCCTTGGGGGTTTTGCCTTGCCACCTGCTTTCCAGCTCCGTTGCATTTCTCTGGCGCCGTGGAGCTGGAGAGCTGGGTGCACCACTGTGCAGCTCCCCTCCCTTCCCCAAACATTCCTTCGCTAGCCTGCTTTCCAGCTCTGTCATTTTTCTCCGCCACCGCACTCCATTTCCAAACGCCCCATAGGCCTGGACTGGAGAAATGAGGGAGAATGGGGCAGTTGGAAACGGAGCGAGTCCCTCGGTTTCCAACCGCCCCATTTGTAAGCAAAGGTTCCAATCTCCCCCTGGGCAAAAAGTGTGCGGTGTGTCCAGATCGCCTGCCTCGCCTCTGTCTCAGCGCTGGATTTACCTGCCCTGCTCCAAGGGGCTGGGAGGCTGCAGCAGTTGCCAGACAGCGTCGGCCCCTGTGCGGTCGCTGCCACTTGTGTCGGCTACCCCCAGCCACCCCTGTGGGCTTATTTTTGGGGTAGGGCTTATATTAGGCCCACCCCCCCAAAATCAGGGCTAGGGTTCATTTTCAGGGTGGGTCTTATTTTCGGGGAAACACAGTATGTATGAAAAAAACATGCCACAGTCTTTCCCTGTTCCACCCACCACCACCATCACTTGCCTATCAACCAGAAATGTAGGCATGTTCCTGATTAGCTTTATTTTTTTCTTCTCCACCAATTTGTGTTCCATCTCTCTCTTTTAAACCAGTGGTTCTCAACCTGTGGGTCGGGACCCCATTTGGGGTCGAACGACCATTTCACGGGGGTCGTCAAACAACGCAGTCCGCCATTTTTTTCCCCCTTTTCCTTAGCTGTGCTACTCTCTTTTATTCTATTGGCTTTTGAAAGCCAATAGAATAGACTCTCTTGAATAGAGTCTAAGTCTATTGGCTTTCAAAAGCCAATAGGAATTGTCCAGGCTGTCTCTGCCCTGTTGAGCCCGCCAAAAGTCCCATTCTGCAAACGGTGCTGCACCATTTGAGTAGTCCTCGACTTACGACCGGTTGAGAACCATTGTTTTAAACTGACATAGAGAGTACTGGTGCTGAATTAAAAATTAAGATTAAGTTGCATCTAAGTCAGCAAGGCTTTCTTATCGTGTGTCTGGTCCTGTGGAACCGACAGTGTTCAGAAAGCTTGTGGCACATTCCTGTAGATTTTTTTCACAAGCATATTTTCTTGGAAAGGGTCATTGGAGACTTGAGATACCTCTGATCCCCCCCCCTTAAATAAGCATGTTAGGAGTTGGACTGTGTATTTTTTTTTAAAAAAAACTGATATTTATTTGGGAGATTTATTTACCTTCTCAGTCCAAAATGAACTTTAGGGGGAATGTATTATACAGTTACTTAGTTATTTCTTCGTAGTGAAATAATTCATGAGCAACATGAATTCCAGAATAAGCATTTTTTAAATTCTGTATACAGATTGTAAAATAAGCAAGTATGAAAAGATTTTTTAATATCTAATTCTGTCAATGGATGGACTCTAACAACTTTGTTAACTTTGCTGTCATAATCCAATTTTAATGCATGTAGTAATAATTGCCATTAAGTATTGAGGCAAACATGTTGAATATAAAAATGATTAAGAAATCATTCTTTTGTAAGATATTCTAACACGAGAAAAACTTGCAATTTCAGAATTTCGTGCAAGAATGGATCTCTGAATAGAATAAGTATTTGTAATTGTTGACCTCAGAACCTCACAACTTCTGTTCATTAAATCCTCCCTGGATTGTAATTTTAATGGAGAATCTTATGTACTAAAATAGAATAATTAACATAGATTGAAGGAAGGGAGTAGCTTCGAATGGAACTAAAACTACAATTCCTTGTAAACTTAATCTTGTCTTTCACTAGGTTTAAAAGTGGAAGTAACTCACTGTGGACAAATGAAGAGGAAGTACCGCGTCTGTAATGTCACTCGGCGCCCAGCTAGTCACCAAACGTAAGACAGGAGCAGTTGAATGAAGAAACGTATATAGTTAGTCCTTGTTTAGTGACCACAGTTGGGACTGGCAGGTCAATTGTTAAACAACATGAAACCACAACTGTGGCTTATAATCTTCCTTTAGCTTTGCTCTGCTTTACCGACCGGTGAAGGTCATAAATGCAGGTGTTGGTTGCAAAGTTACTTTTTAATCACCCTCATCACTGCGAGTGGTCGCTGTCTGAGGCCGTTGCACAACGGCCTGTTCTGTATCAGAACAGGAACTCTGCCTTTTGCATTTGTGTAAAGGCAAATACAAAAGGGCAAGCTTGTGTTTTGATCCCACAATACGGATTTTGCCCTTTAGAGCAGGGCTTTTCAACCAGTGGTACGGGTACCACCTGTGGTACATTGGCACCTGGCAGGTGGTACGCGACCATCCTAGAAAAGTGGTAGCGGGGGAGGGGAATGAGCTGAACCGTTGGCAGCACTGCACAAGCCTGAGCGAGAGACAGCTGAAGCTGCAGGGCTGTCAGGGCTCAGCGGAAGCGCCAGGATCAGTGCCGCTTTCCAGCTGATTGGCGCTTCTTCAGGGCTGTCAGGGCTTAGTGGAAGCGCCAGGATCAGTGCCAGGCTCCAGTTGGACTCGGCGCTGATCTTGGTGCTTCTGCTGAGCCCTGAAGAAGCACCAATCAGCTGGAATGTTGCAGTATCTCCAGTGATTTACATTCAGATGCTTGGCAACTGATTCATATTTATGACGGTCACAGTGTCCCAGGCCCATGTGAAGTGACCAAAACCTGCTGCAACCACCCAGCAGAGGTGGGGGGGAATAAAAACCAAATACCCCTCACCCCACCCCCGGTGCAATCCTTAACAGAAATGCTCACAACAATGAAAACCATTGGACAGGAGGAAGAGCGCGGCCGGGCGGGCAGGCAGGTGTCTTGCTCGGCTGTGCCTTGGGAGGCACTTTTTTCAGGGCCATTGTAACTTCAAACAGTCACTAAGTGAACTGTTGTAAGTCGAGGACTATCTGTAATTTATCACTTTTTTCCTTTTTTTTTTTTTTTTTTTTGGTCATCAAGTTTTTGCCACCTTGCTAGGCGACTGGTGGTACTCGGATGTTGCCATATCCTAAAAGTGGTACAATAGGTGAAAAGGTTGAAAAGGCCTGCTTTAGAGGTCCTGGTGGGCCTCTCTGGAGGCCTTGGAGCAGGGAAGCTGAATCTCTGTTCACGATGTCAGGGCATTGGCTCACTAAGGGCCTCTCCTTCTGCTTGCACAGGTTCCCCCTGCAGCTGGAGAGCGGACAAACTGTGGAATGCACCGTTGCACAATACTTCAAGCAGAAGTACAACCTGCAGCTAAAGTACCCCCACCTGCCCTGTCTTCAGGTCGGCCAGGAGCAAAAGCACACCTACCTGCCTCTCGAGGTAAGAGCCATTGGGATGGTGGTGGTAGTTCTGGAACCAGACAGCGTTGCATTCAGTCCCCACAAAGAACGTACTGATGTAGCCACGCTCTGTTCTTTGCTCGGACCCGTTTCAGTTCCATGGGATGGAAACGTAGTCTGGATTCCCGGGAGGAGGGGCTGCATTCCAGAGGACCAAGAGAGAGCAAAGTTTAGAGTAGTGGTGGCAAACCTATGGCACGTGTGCCAGAGGCGGCACTCAGAGCCCTCTCTGTAGGCACGCATGCCATGCCCTGGAGAGGGCGAGGGACTGGCCCCGCCCACCCAGCCCCGCCCACCTGGCGTGGGTTTTGGGTTGCAGTTTGGGCACTGGTTTAGAGAGTTGGTTGGGAGGAAGAGGATCAAGGCAGCTCCTCCTTAGACGTAGGAAAAAAGCACTACACACACACACACATACACACACACACACACACACACATATACATATACAGGTAGTCCTCGACTCACAACAATTTGTTTAGTGACTGTTCAAAGTTACAACAGCACTAAAAAAAATGACTTACAATTGCAGGGATTCGCTTATCAACTGTGGCAAGAAAAGTCATAAACCGGGGCAAAACTCACTTAAGAAATTTCTCACTTGCAACGTGAATTCTGGGCTCAATTGTGGCTGTAAGTTGAGGACTGCCTGTATGTGTACTGCCTGTATGTGTACATAAATACACATATATGTCACTTTGGAAGTAATAAATAAGATATATAGCAAGGAAGATGAATGAAATACAGAAGATAAAAGTATAATAATAATTGACTGAAGTACCAGTGGATAAATAAGCCATAATCTTCTATTAGTATTTTTGTTGCTGTTGTTGATCCTGTCAAAGTAACTTGTGTAGGAGGGTGATGCTGTCTGGAACTAGATAAGACTAAGCCATCGTGTGATATATTGGATTTTGTCTCAGCATGTGTGTGAATCCAATCTTCATGGTTTGTAGCTTGAGTTTATTTTGTGGGCTTGAGGAACAGTAGCACAGCCAGCAAGGTAAAACTAAGCAAATCAACTCTGAATGTGATGCATTGTCCCAACTAGTTTTGTTTTGCTCAAACCATAGTTTGGCAAATCAGGACGATACACAAAACATGAAATCCTTATTGTTTTCATCCCCTTTTGAGTTCAAGGAAAGGTGGTAGTTTTGAACCAGGGGTCTTCCAACTCAGCCCTTTTATGACTTGTGCCTGGCTGAGGAATTCTGGGAGTTGAAGTCCACAAGTCATAAAAGGGCAGAGTTGGAAGACCCCTGGTTTAAACGAATACCTGCCTCTTCCTTGCCCATTTCCCCAGGTGTGTAACATTGTAGCTGGCCAGCGGTGCATCAAAAAATTGACGGACAATCAGACGTCTACCATGATCAAAGCTACAGCACGATCTGCTCCAGACAGGCAAGAAGAAATTAGCCGGTTGGTAAGTAGCTCTTCCTTTTGTGGGGATGATGGCAGAATGAGAGGGGGACCTTCTTTGTGTCAGCATAAGGGTGTAAGAAGCTCAGAGCACCGTGCTGTTGTAACGTAGAAGGAATTGAGTGCAGGAGTTTAATTCTTGGCTCTGGCTAATAACATACCAGCTGTGTACGGTTTGGTGTACAAGCGTTCCTCGCTTTCCATCCATTCATTTGACTGCTGCCGTGTTGCTGGAAAAGTGACTTAGGACTAGTCCTCACACTTAAAATTGTTGCAGTGTCCCTGCAGTCATGTGATCAGATTTCAGGTGCTTGGCTACCGGCATATATTTACAACCATTGTAGCACGTGGTCCTCATTTGTAACTGCCCCAGAGGCTTCCAACAAGGAAAATTGATGGGGGGGAGCTGGATTCATTTAACGGTCGCACGATTCACTTAACAATCATGTGATTTGCTTAATAAGTGCAGCAAAAAAGGTTCCAAAACCAAGCACAACTCGCTTCACAAACACGTCACTTAGTGATGGAGGTTTCAGTCCCAATTGCTATAAGTTGAGGACTGCCCGCATTCTGTCTCAGCTTCAGCCTGATGTCGTGGTTCCGACTAGTGAAACACTTCAAAGAACGTCCAGGCATTGTTTATCCTAAAAAAGTCTTTAGTCGTGAAACAAAGTGTTGGCACAGCATGGTGGATGCCAAGATCTGAATTCCCCTCCCCTGAGCACATAATATTCCAGCATATTCCCCTCCTCTAATTTGCAGTCATAAATCACGTTCTCCAATTAGTTTGAAGGGCAAAGTTTCCTTTCCAGTTCTGTAGCCCAGGGTTTCTTATCTTAACTCAGAAATGTCAAACACAAGGCCCCGGAAGTGGTTTCATGCGGCCTGCGAAACAGTGAGGGAACGGCCCCCACTGCCTTGGCCCTGGCCCAGGCCAGCCGGGATCCAATGTACAATTTTGTGGTGGCCATCTAGGCTGAAACGCATTCAGTCTTAGCTCCACAAGGCCGTCTAGAAACAGCGGGGAACCAGCCCCTGCTGCGTCGGCCCCGCCCCCTGGGTGCATGCTGGGGAGGGGTGACCCTTTGTGAGGAATGAAGAAATGGACCATGCCTTGACGCTTGCCCTGGTCCCACCCCCTCCTGCCAGAGACCCCCAGATCTATCCCACTCCTGCCCAGGCCCCCACAGGCACCCTTGACGCGAACGATGTAGAGCTGGCCATGGCCACCCAGTAGGCCACACCCACTCCTCCACGCCCACCCAGTAGGCCGCACCCACCCTGGCCACACCCCCGCCCAAGAGCAATCACAATGCTGATGCGGCCCTCAATGAAATTGAGTTTGGCACCCATCTTAACTAATCCCCGCACACGTTCTTTCTCCTCCCCTCCCAGCATCATCTAATTTAACTCTAAAAATACCACACATCTTATACAGAGAGTGGCTGCCGCTTCATATTTTCTCAAAGCAAGAACATCCAATGTTAGCAGCGTTGACATCTTTCTTTTGTAGGGTTTAGCATTAATGTAGGGGCTACAAGAGTAATAATATGGGAAGGAGAAAAAAGAGACAATCCTTTGGATCAGTGGTTCTCAACCTGTGAGTCGGGACCCCATTTGGGGTCGAACGACCATTTCACGGGGGTCGCCAAACAACGCAGTCTGCCATTTTTTCCCCCCCTTTTCCTTAGCTGTGCTACTCCCTTTTATTCTATTGGCTTTTGAAAGCCAATAGAATTAGACTCTCTTGAATAGAGTCTAATTCTATTGGCTTTCAAAAGCCAATAGGAATTGTCCAGGCTGTCTCTGCCCTGCTGAGCCCGCCCAAAGTCCCCTTCTGCAAACGGTGCTGCACCAGTTGAGTAGTCCTCGACTTACGACCGGTTGGGGGTCGCGGCATTAAAAAGGTTGAGAACCACTGCTTTGGATGCTTACAACCGCAGCTGGGCCCTCAGTTATGGATGTTGGCTGTGTCACCCAAGGTTGAGGGAGGCTATTGTTCAATAAGATGTCTTCAGTTTTCCAGCAAGTCCACTCTAATTGCCTAGCCTTAGTTAGATTAGTCTTCACCAACTTCTTCCAGAAGTGTTGAGACATCTGAGAATTATGAGAGACCCAGTCTCAGATCATCTGGAGCAGAGGTGGGGAACTATGGCCCCTTGATGTCTTGTGGACTTCAACTCCCAGAATTCCTGAGTTAGCATGGCTGTCTCAGGAATTCTGGGAGTTGAAGTCCATAAGTCAAAAGGGCCATAGATCTAGATCAGTGTTTCTCAACCTTGACAATTTTAAGGCATGTGGACTTCAACTCCCAGAATTCTGGGAGTTGAAGTCCACATGCCTTAAAATTGTCAAGGTTGAGAAACACTGATCTAGAGGACGCCCATTTCAGCAAGGCTGGTTTGAATAACCCAAGAATCTAGGACAGCGCTCTTCAAAGTTGGCCCTTTGATGACTTGTGGACTTCAACTCCCAGAATTCCTTAGCCAGCATGCCTGGCTGAGGAATTCTGGGAGTTGAAGTCCACAAGTCATCAAAGGGCCAAGTTTGAAGAGCCCTGGTCTAGGAATTAGCCATCTCTCGCCCTATTCCCTAGAGCACTGTTTCTCAAAACTGGCCACTTTAGGATGAGTGGCCAGGTTGGGGAATTCTGGGAGTTGAAGTCCACCCACCTTAGAATTGCTAAAGTTGAGAAATACTACCCTAGAGAGACTAACTTGTTTGAAAACTTCACCCTCCCTTTGTCTTGCAGATGAAAAACGCCAGTTATAACCTGGACCCCTACATACAGGAATTTGGCATAAAAGTGAAAGATGACATGACCGAAGTGACTGGGCGGGTCTTGCCAGCCCCGATTTTACAGTATGGAGGCCGGGTGAGTAGTAAAGAACCTCTGGGCTGCTTTTAGTCACAAGCACTACTGAGGCCTGAGATGGGTATATATTTGTTAGCTCGTATCCATCCGTCCTTCAGAAACTGGAGTAGCGTGTGGCTCCTGAGAATCGTAGCTGTGATCTTAGAAAAAAGAGGGGAAAGACATTTCCATTTCTCTAGAAGCAGGTTTTTTTTTTGTAAAAGGATAAAATCCAGGCAAACCTCCAACAAATCACAGAATCATAGAACTGGAAGAGACCTTGGAAGTCTTCGAGTCCAGGGGTCTCCAACCCCTGGGCCGTGGGAGCCTTGAGCCGTTCAGAACTGAGTTGCAGAAGTGGCAGTCAAGTACGTGCGTATCCGCACTTGCATGAGCAGGGGGCCAGCGCATGCGCCATTTGCGTGAGTGTGCGTGCCTGCTGCCTGCGTAAATGGAGCTGCGCGCACGCTCCCCCCTGCTGGTCTGCAAAGGCAGAAAAACCGGGGACTCTCTTAGTCAAGGCAGAAGTCTTATACTATCCCAGTCAAATGCCTGTCCAGTTGATTTTTGGAAACCTTGCAATGGAACACCCACAACCACAGAAGGCAAGTTATCCCCCCCCCCCACAACCCGAAATCCAGGTGTGCGTGCCTGCTGCTTGCGTAAATGGAGCTGTGCACACGCTTGCCTGCCGCTCACATGGAACCACTTCCTCCTCTTTGCCAGTCTGCAAAGCCAGAAAAATTGGGGACTCTCTTAGTCGAGGCAGAAGTCTTATACTATCTCAGTCAAATGCCTGTCCAGTTGATTTTTTAAAACCTTGCTAATGGAACACCCACAACCACAGAAGGCAAGTTATCCCCCCCCCCCCAACCCAAAATCCGGATCTTTGAGATATGGATTTTGTCAGGCACAAAGGAATAGGACCACACAATAAGCCACAGATTTATTTCTCAAGCCTATAGATAAGAATCTAGTCAACTAACTAAACTGGGGTTAGGTAAGAGTCACTGGGATTCAAGGGGGCTGGACGTGGATCATTATGGCAACATAATGACTCTAGGCTGATTGCTCTCTTGATGCCGCCACAGGCTCTGCCCCTTCTTCTCCTACTGTTTCTTTTTTTTTTTCCTCCCACAGAATCGTGCCATCGCCACACCCAATCAGGGGGTCTGGGATATGCGAGGGAAGCAGTTCTACACTGGGATCGAGATCAAAGTGTGGGCCATCGCGTGCTTTGCCCCTCAGAAGCAGTGCAGAGAAGAAGTGCTGAAGTAAGTGAGTGGAGCACGTGGGAGGGCAGAAGAAATGAAAGAGCTCCTAGAACTGGGGTAGGCAACCTTGGCTCTTTTATGACTCGCGGACTTCAACTCCCAGAATTCCTGCTGGCTCAGGAATTCTGGGAGATGAAGTCCGCGAGTCATAAAAGAGCCAAGGTTGCCTACCCCTGCCCTAGAAGGACCAGAAAGAGTTGTCAGCATAAGCCAGGCCTGGAACACCCCGTTTTGAAAAGCTGGGCAGATACTGCTGGTTGAAAGAGGCAGGATGAAGCAGCATAAAAAAGGTGGCTTGATTCGGTGCAAAGGTGTCAACCGTGACAGAGTATGTAGAGCAGTGGTTCTCAACCTTTTTAATGCCGCGACCCCCGGCCGGTTATAAGTCAAGGACTACTCAACCGGTCGTAAGTCGAGGACTACTCAACTGGTGCAGCACCGTTTGCAGAATGGGACTTTTGGCGGGCTCAGCAGGGCAGAGACAGCCTGGACAATTCCTATTGGCTTTTGAAAGCCAATAGAATTAGACTCTATTCAAGAGAGTCTATTCTATTGGCTTTCAAAAGCCAATAGAATAAAAGGGAGTAGCACAGCTAAGGAAAAGGGGAAAAAAATGGCGGACTGCGTTGTTTGGCGACCCCCGTGAAATGGTCGTTCGACCCCAAATGGGGTCCCGACCCACAGGTTGAGAACCACTGATCTAGAGGCAATTTACTATAACTCTTGAACCTCCGTTGCTGCCTGTTGTCTTTCCCAGCATGACTAAACAAAATAGTAATTGCAATAGAAGACAATATTTGTAACTGAGGGTTGAACTGTAGGCTCTCTTGAGTTTGGCTGTTTTCTTGCCGACGTCTTATTACCCAACTAGGTTACAGCATCAGTGCTGATTCTGTAACCTAGTAGGGTAGTGAAACATCTGCAAGAAAACTAGCTCCAAGAGCACCAAGGACCGCACAAACAATAGGTCCTTTGTAACAGCTTTGGAAAAAAATAAATTACAGTTCTTGCTGGAATGTCAAATGTGGCAAAATGGCTGGGTTCTTAACATGGGATGTCCAAGATTCCAGATAAAACAGTTGTAAAATTAAAGGTTTGTTGATTCTCATTTTCCTTTTTTGAGATTTAAAAGACATTCCCTATGCACGATACGCAAAATCTTACACTTTGCTTTATGCACAAAAGATTCCAGGTTGAAACTCTAGGTTCTACAAATAAGGACCTGTCTCTAGTTGGATTAGATCATGTTCAGCTGAATAGAGCAGTGTTTCCCAAACTTGACAATTTTAAGGCATGTGGACTTCAACTCCCAGAATTCCACAGCCAGCATTGCCTTAAAATTGTCAAGTTTGGGAAACACTGGAATGATTTGCTGGAAACAAACTTATTTTCTGCCTTTCCCAAAAGAGAGAGACAATTCACAAAGTATGGGAATATTGATGTACAGTAATACTTTCCTACTTTTCTTCCATTCTGGCCCCATTCCTTAGGCTGAGTGTTTCTCAACCTTGCCAAGTTTAAGACAGGTGGACTTCAACTCCTGGGCTGGAGAATTCTGGGAATTGAAGTCCACACTTCTTAAACTTTTTAGTTATACCAGATAGCAACTGCTAGCCATTTCTATAGCAATGAGCCAAGCTGCTTCATTCTGAGTGGTGGCACATCAGTTGTGAAAAATTCGCCTGCCCTTTTCTGATCTGGCTTTCTGTTTTCTTTGCATAGAAACTTCACGGACCAACTGCGCAAAATCTCCAAGGATGCGGGGATGCCAATCCAGGGCCAGCCTTGCTTCTGTAAATACGCACAAGGTGCTGACAGTGTGGAGCCCATGTTCCGACATCTGAAAAACACATATTCAGGACTCCAGCTCATCATCGTCATTCTGCCGGGGAAGACACCGGTCTATGGTATGTCATCAGAACGGGTGTCAGGAAGAGCATTTGAGAAGCGTAGTCTTTATTTACTACCTACCTGTTCCCCTTCAGCAGGAAAATGAATAGACTGAAACCATTTTGCTTGACTTTCTATTTTTTTTTTTTTAAATTATATTTTAGTCTAAGACTCTAGTCCAGGGGTAGGCAACCTCGGCTCTTTTATGACTCATGGACTTTAACTCCTAGAATTCCAAGCTGAGAATTCCCCTGTGCTAAACTGAGGTCTTCCTAAAGCAGTGGTTCTCAACCTGTGGGTTGGGACCCCATTTGGGGTCGAATGACCATTTCATGGGGGTCGCCAAACAACGCAGTCCGCCATTTTTTCCCCCTTTTCCTTAGCTGTGCTACTCCCTTTTATTCTATTGGCTTTCGAAAGTCAATAGAATAGACTCTCTTGAATAGAATCTAATTCTATTGGCTTTCAAAAGCCAATAGGAATTGTCCAGGCTGTCTCTGCAAACGGTGCTTCACCAGTTGAGTAGTCCTCGACTTACGACCGGTTGGGGGTCGTGGCATTAAAAAGGTTGAGAACCACTGTCCTAAAGGCATCTGTGTGGGCGAAACAGGAATCCTCCTTTTGTGGCGGCCACTCTTTTCATCTCTGATGCTCTCTCTGTTCTTTCCCTGCAGCGGAGGTGAAGCGTGTAGGGGACACTCTCCTGGGCATGGCCACTCAGTGTGTGCAGGTCAAAAATGTGGTGAAGACTTCCCCCCAGACTCTTTCCAACCTCTGTCTCAAGATCAATGTTAAACTTGGTGGAATTAACAATATCTTGGTGCCCCACCAGCGGTACGTATTGCTCGGGGACGAAGGGAGTCCACCTTCTTTGTTCCGACTTTGTACTTCCGTTGGGTTCTCTTGTCTTCATCTTTTCAGCCCAAGTTCTTTGCCCAACTGATTGTGGAGTCCTGAACTGGTCATAAACAGGCCTTTTCAGTGCTTTGTTACTTTGAATGGTTGTCAGTTGAAAGGTACCTCTAGTATCTCTGCTCTCAGTCATCTGTGAACCATCTTTGGCAATCCTTTGTGTTAAAACTCTTGCTTCGTGTTGCTCCTAGATCGGCTGTTTTTCAGCAGCCAGTTATATTCCTGGGAGCTGATGTGACTCATCCTCCAGCTGGGGATGGAAAGAAGCCCTCCATAACAGCTGTAAGTTCACTTTTTCCTAAGCTGTGGTCATGAACAAAGCAAAGATAGCTCAGTTTTGGAATTCTGGTGGAAATGGGGTCTCAGCAGAAGACCTCTTTTAGGAGTCTCCTCTCCTTTCACCTCTCTCCTCTCCTCTGCTCTTCTTTCTCCTCTCTCCTCCCCCTCCCTCTCCCCTCCCCTCTCCTCTCCTCTGCTCTTCTTTCTCCTCTCTCCTCTCCCCTCCCCTCTCCTCTCTCCTCTCCTCTCCTCTTCTTTCACCTCTCTCTTCTCCCCTCTCCTCTTCTTTCACCTCTCCTCTTCTTTCTCCTCTGTCCTCCCCCTCTCCTCTCCTCTGCTCTTCTTTCTCCTCTCCCCTCCCCTCTCCTCTCCTCTTCTTTCACCTCTCTCTTCTCCCCTCTCCTCTTCTTTCTCCTCTCCTCTCCTCTTCTTTCTCCTCTCTCCTCTCTTCCCTCTCCCCTCTCCTCTCCTCTTCTTTCACCTCTCTCTTCTCCCCTCTCCTCTTCTTTCTCCTCTCCTCTCCTCTCCTCTTCTTTCACCTCTCCTTCCCTCTCCTCCTCTCCTCTCCTCTTCTTTCTCCTCTCCTCTCCTCTCCTCTCTCCTCCCTCTCCTCTCCTCTCCTTTCTCCTCCCTCTCCCCTCCCCTCTCCTCTCCTCTCCTCTCCTCTCCTCTCTTCTTCTCTTCTTTCTCCTCTCCTCTCCTCTCCTCCCACCCCAAAATAAAAATTATTAAGACTGTTAAAGCAAGGGTGGGACCTCATGTGTCCCTAATGTCCTCCTCCTGATCTTCATCTTAATATATAGCCAATTACAATTTAGTCAATAATCCATGTTTAAGCATGGTTTGTCCATGCTTTATATAAAACAGTGTTTCCCCCTCCTCCTAGACTCCCCTTCCCAAGCCAGCCAAAAATACTGTATAAAGCTTGAGAACCGGCTAACATCTGTTGCCTCCCATTTTCGCTGTGAGCAAGTTGTAGACGTTGCCTCTTGGTTGACTGCAGGTGGTGGGCAGCATGGATGCCCACCCAAGCCGCTACTGTGCCACGGTTCGAGTACAGCGGCCACGCCAGGAAATCATTGAAGACCTTTCCTACATGGTTCGAGAGCTCCTCATCCAGTTCTACAAGTCAACACGCTTCAAGCCGACACGCATTATCTTCTACCGGGATGGTGTGCCTGAGGGACAGTTGCCACAGGTGAGGAAGACTTCTCCTTGCTGCCCCTTCTGGAGGATCAGGTCTTCCATAGGAGGAGGAATTTTGTCTATGGAGATTCAGCCAACCAGGTCCTAGTTATCCCAGAGGTGCTTTTTTCAAGAGGCAAGTGGACCTCCTTGTTTTTCTCTGAAGTTCATCCAAGAAGTTTCTTCAGCTCTGACTGGATGGTGGGGAGTGGAAGGGTTTATACCAGCTGTCTGCAAGGAATATAAATCCTTCCCTTCCCTACCACCCAGTCAGAGCTGAAGAAGCTTCTGGGATGAGAAGCGAAACGTCTTCAAAGAAAAACAAGGAAGTCCAGCTGCCTCTTGAAAAAAGCCCCTTTGGAGAGACCCAGGCCACACAGTATTGAATAACTGGAGGTTGTATAAATATTTACCGAAGTATATACCGAGAAGGTTAGATAAATAGAAGTATTAATGTAAGAAAAAATTAATCTTATTGTATATAATATATTTAGGGAAATTTGGAGAGAGGAGTTGCTCGGACATTACCCCTGAATTGTATGAGGGATGAGAGGGAAGAAAGGAGAGGAGAGAGAAAAGAGTAAAGGAGGGGAGAAGGAAGTAGGAAGGTTGGAGGAGAAGAGGAGAAGTGGGGAGAAAGGGGAGGAGAGTGGTGAAGGAAAGAGGAGAGGAAGAAGAGGGAAGTAGGGAAGAGAAGAAAGGGAGAAAGAAGGTAGAGAAGAAGGAGTGTGGATACAGTGAAAGGGGAAATGGGCGAGCAACACCAAAAGTCATGTGTATGTATTTATTTCACTTTATTAAAAGTATCTTATATATGAATGTAAAAAGAATGTATGTTAACATCTGATAAATACCATGGTATATGTATGGGGGAGAGTTTGGAAAAATAAAAAATTATTAAAAGAAAAGAAAAGAAAAAAGCCCCTTTGGGACAACCAGGAGCTGGAAGACGGAGAACCTCCATGGACATTTAGCCATGCACTTGGGGATGGACACCCTTCGAATTGTGCGGGAGCGTGAACGGATTTCCAGAAAACATTGCAGGCTACAGGAGCCATTTGCGCTGCAGTTTGAGATGCAGACCACACAGACTCATCCCCAACAGCCTGCACTGGTCTTCAACGGTGAAGAAGCCGAAAACATCTTGCAGCCAAGAAGGCTCCACACTATTTGCACCACTCAGGTGACCCTGAAGACACAGGTAAACCTCCAGGCGGCCTCAACGACTCTCCAAAAGAGTGCAAATGACCAGCTGTCTGCAAGGAGTATAAACCTTCCCTTCCCCACCATCCAGTCAGAGTGGAAGAAGCTTCTTGGATGAGAAGCGAAACGTCTTTCAAGAAAAACAAGGAAGTCCACTTGCCCCCTGAAAAAACACCTTTTTGGGATAAGGAGGAGTTGAGCTCTGCCCCACCTTGGATTGGTAGAGCCACCTTCCCTTCTTTAGCACAACTTCCAAATTCCTACGGTGCAGCCGCAGGTAGACCTCAGCTTAGACACAACTGAGCCCCACATTTATTCAGTATTAATTTGTTAAGGGAGTTTTGCCCCCTTTTGCAACTTTTCTCGCCACGTTTGTGAAATGAATCCCTGTAGTTCTTAAATTAGTAGCCCGGGTGTTAAGTGACTCAGGCTTGACCCATTGACTCTGCTGGTCAGAGGTTTGCAAAAGGGGACCACGTGACTTGGGGGCGTTGCGACCGTCACAAACGTGAGTTGGCTGCCAAGCATCCAAATGTAAATCAGGTGATCCTGGGGATGCTGCAATGGTCAGAAGTGTGAAAAATGGGCCTAAGTCCCCCTTTTCCCCCCAGTGCTGTTATAACTTTGAATGGACACTAAGCGGACTGTTGTAAGTCAAAGTCCTCCATTTACGACCTCAGTTGGGCCCAGAATTTCTGGGGCTAAGCAAGGCAGTTAAGTGGATTTTATGACCTTTTACGCTCTGGTGAAGTGAATCTCCGGTCATTAAGCAAATGCAGCTTCCCAGTTCACTGGTTTTTTTGCAATTGTCCTAAAAAAACACACGAGTTGCCGAGTACCTGGATTTTGATCGTGTAATTGTGGGGAGGTTGGAAAGGTCATAAGTGCGAGGACTTTTTTCCCCAAAGCTGTTGTACCTTCCGACGGCCACAACTTACAACTGGTTGTAAGTTGAGGATCCACAATCACGTTATAGCTGGATCTTCCTAATTAGGACCCAGATTGTTGGGGGCAATGTAAATATATATTGGTGTACACCGTTTAGAGAGTGCTTGCACTTAAAGTGGTATATAAGTCTCATAAATAAAATAAAATAAATTACTAATCTTCAGTGAATAACTTCTGCGCCACCAGGAGCTGCACAAGGCCAAGTTTGGACAGCTCTATACGATCTCTTTATATCCTTTTGAGGACGGGGCGGGTTCAAAAGAATACTCAAGGTGGGCTTCTCATAGTCTCTACTCATTGTGTAAGTATTATTTTCCTTCCTTCCTTAGATCCTTCATTATGAACTTCTGGCCATCCGAGATGCCTGCATTAAACTGGAGAAGGATTACCAGCCGGGGATCACCTACATTGTAGTTCAGAAAAGACACCACACTCGCCTCTTCTGTGCAGACAAAAACGAGAGGGTGAGGCTTACAAATGAGCACTCTGTGTGTGTGTGTGTGTGTGTGTGTGTGTGTGTAGAGATTAATTGGGTTTTTGCCTTGCGGTTTTACTTCTCTAAACCGCTGAGTGAGTTGGGAGCCGTATAAATTTTCTACATAAAATAAATAAAATCTTGCCGTTCAAAGGCCGCTTAGACAGCTTACTCTTGAGCATCGAGATTTGTCTTCAACTCTTTCAAAGTTTAAATCAGCGGTCCTAAAACATGTTTGTGTATGTGTGAGATTAGAGTGTGTCCTGGCTGTAATGGAGCTATTTGTAATTGCTTGTTTGCGATTGGACTGGTGCTGTGGTAAGGTAGAACCACAGAGTCCCTTTGTCTCTTTGTTGAGTAGTGAAATGATTTGAACCCGGGAAAGGAACTAATTCGGTCAAATAGCTTAAGAAACACTGATTTAGATAAAGTTGAAGTTGCAGGACCGCAGATGTAGACGCTGCGAGAAAGCCTTACCACCACCACCACCCCCGAACCATGCATTATGATAAATAAACCACATGCCCCTACAGGTAGTCCTTGACTCACGACCACAACCATGCCCAAAATTAACAACGGCAAGACAGTTGTTAAGTGAGTTTTGCCCCATTTTTCTTGCCACAGTTGTTGAGAGAATCGCTGAAATTGTTAAGTTTGTAACACGGTGGTTAAGTGAATCTGACTTCCCCATTGACTTGTCAGAAAGTCACAAAAGGTGATGACGTGACCCCAGGACACTGCAGATGTCATAACTATGAGTCAATCGCTAAGCGTCCAGATTTTGATCACATGACCACGGGGTGGGTGCTGCTGCTGCTGCAGTGGTTGTAAGTATGAAAACCGTCATAAGTGCCGTTGTAACTTCAAACGGTCACTAAATGAATGGTTGTAATTGGAGGACTCCCAATTAACTCAAACTGCAGTGCAAAATTGTACAGTTAAAGGTTCTGGCAATTTTTATGGAAACTTGGTCCCGCTTTGTCTGGTATCCTTTTGTTATGGTTCCGGCTAATCATTGATTTTCCTAAAAGTCATTTATTGTTACAAAATGTCGGCCCAGGCATAACGGAGGATGCTAAGATCTAAGTTCTCTTCCTCTGAGCAGTTAAATTATCAGCATGTTCCCTCCCTAAATTAGCTGTCATATATCACATTATCCAGTTAGTGTGAAGGTCAAAGGTTTCCTTCCTCTTTTTTCCCTCGGGCTTTACTCCCACCCCCCTTCTGCTCTGTATTGACCCCAAAAATACCAGACAGTTCTGCATATTGTCAAAAGCAAGAATATACAATATTTGCAGCGTTGACACCTTTGCTTTTCCTATTGTGTTTAACTTTTTTTTTTCTCTCTCTCTTTTTTGCAGATTGGCAAAAGTGGGAACATACCAGCCGGAACGACAGTTGATACGAACATTACTCACCCCTTTGAGTTTGACTTCTACCTGTGCAGTCATGCCGGCATTCAGGTACCTTTTTTTAACAGCTTCCTGGCAGGGGTGGCTAAGGCAGCCTCCTTTTGGATGGAGTGGACTTCACTTCCCAGCATTCCCTGCTCTGGCTGCAAATCCTAGGGATGGAAGGCCACAATTTGGGGGGTGGGGACGGACAGCCAAGCTGAATTAGTGAATGAAACAGTCAACCATAATCTCTGAGGGGTTCAGATAGTCCTTGATTTACAACCATTTGCTTAGCAATTGTTCCAAGTTAAGGATAGCACTGGGATAAGTGACGATTGGTCCTCACACTTAGGACTATTGCAGCATCTTTATTGCAGCTAGTCCTCAATTTATGGCCACAATTCAGCCTAGAATTTCTGTTGCTAAGCGAGAAAATGGTGAGTTTTGCCCCGTGTTGTTAAGGGAATCACTGCAGTTCTTAAGTGAGTAACATGGTTGCTAACGGGAATCTGGCTTCCCCATTGAATTTGCTAGTCGGAAGGCTGCAAAAAATGGTCGGATGACACCACCACCGACATAAATATGAGTCAGGTACGCCAAGTGTCTGGATTTTAATCACGTGACCATGGGGACACTGCAGCGGCGGTAAGTGTGAAAAAAGGCCCTAAGTCACTTTTTCCAATCCATTGTAACTTCGATCGGTCACTAAATGAACTGCTGTAAGTCAAGAACTACGTGTGTGTGTGTGTGTGTGTGTGTGTGTGGTTATTCAGGTTCTCTCCCGCGTCAAATTGGAAGTGTCTTGGCGACGTTTCGACAAAGTCTCATTCGTCATCTTCAGGCTGGTGTTTTTGGCTTCGTGCTTCTAGGAGCAATGTGTGATCATAGCTGTTTCTTCCTTTTTTATGATCAGCTATGATCACACACTGCTCCTAGAAGCACGAAGCCGAAAACACCAGCCTGAAGATGACGAATGAGACTTCGTCGAAACGTCGCAAAGACACTTCCAATTTGACGCGGGAGAAAACCGAATAACCAAAGACCTACGTGTGTGTGTGTGTGTGTGTGTGTGTATGTATGTATATATTTATTTCAGTCTTGCAACATCACCTAAGCATCCTTTCATTGTTGTGCTGGGAATGCGTCTCGCCTCTTTTATTCCGTTTCATTCCTTCTCCCCTAGGGTACGAGCAGACCCTCCCATTACTACGTGCTTTGGGACGATAACCGGTTCACAGCAGATGAGCTTCAGATTCTCACCTACCAGCTTTGCCACACCTACGTTCGTTGTACCCGCTCTGTTTCTATCCCAGCACCAGCATACTATGCCCGATTGGTGGCCTTCCGGGCGCGATATCACCTTGTCGACAAAGAGCATGACAGGTGAGTACCGCAGCTCAGGGGTCTCCAACCCCTGGGCCGTGGCCCAGTACCGGGCCACGGCATGCCAGCAACCAGTCTGCACAAACAAGTAAAGCCCCATCCGTGGGATGCAGGCAGCACACAAAAACCACGCACCCTCCGGTCCATGGAAAAACCTCTCTCCATGGAACCGGTCCCAGGTGCCCAAAAGGTTGCGGACCTCTGCCGTAGCTGGACCGTCTACCCTCTCCCACAAAGATGCTTCTTGCAGAGTCCAATGTCCACCACTGATTGTGTTCCTGGTGAGATTGTGTTCCTGGTGTTCTTGGAGTTGGGTTATTTTCTTGAAGAAAATGTCATTACCAAGTACACTGACAACGTTACTCAGCCTGGTAACAAAAAGTTGTCCAACAATATCGCCTCTTCTTTAGAGAAGAGACTGATAGATATGGCAGCTAAATCATGGCTTGGAAATTGTTATTTACACTGGGGGGAGAGGAAGGGAATTATTAAGTATCTCTGGAAAGAAATTATATTAAAAGTACAGGTAGTCCTCAACTTAACGATCACAATTGAGCCCCCCAGTCTCTGTTGCTAAGTGAGACGTTTGTTTAAGTGAGCTTTGCTCCATTTTACGACCTTTCTCGCCACTCTTGTTAAGCGAATCGCTGCAGTTGTTAAGCTAGTAACACGGTTGTTAAGTGAAACTGGCTTTGCTTGTCCGAAGGTCTCCAAAAGCAGATTGTGTGACCCTGGGACATGTGACCATCATAAATGCGAATCAGTGGCCAATCATCCGTACGTAAATCACAGGACCCTGGTGATGCTGCAGCGGTCATCAGTGTGAAAAATGGTGTCGGTGTCGTTGTAACTTCAAACAATCGTTAAGTGAACTGTTGTAAGTCGAGGACTACCTGTATTTCACTTAATCAAAGATAGGCCTCCTCTCCGCTCACAGAATTTTTCAGCCCTCCCTCCCAATTCTCCAGCATGTTGTCCAAAGGCAGAAAGCCACCCCCAGCCTGGAAAAGTTTTTCTCCCCCTAGTTCAGTGGTGGCGAACCTATGGCACGGGTGCCAGAGACAGCACTCAGAGCCCTCTCTGTGGGCACGCGCACCGTCACCCCAGTCCTAGGCCTTCAGCTGGGTTTTATAAAAGTCTTTTCGTTTTAGGTCTCCACTGCCCTGTGCAAAAAAAAAAAAAAAAAGGGTTCAATCAGTCAATTTCAACTTCTCGCAGAAAAACAAAGATCTTGCAAAGTTGGAATTGATTGATTAAACTTTTTAGTCCCACCTAGTCGGCCGTTACCACTGCAGCCACGCCCACCCACCTGGCCACGCCCACCCAACTGGCCCCATCCAGCCAATGGGCCACACCCACCCAACTGGCCACATCCAGCCAATGGGCCACATCCACCCAACTGGCCACACCTAGCCAATGGGCCACACCCACCCAACTGGCCACACCCAGCCAATGGGCCACACCCACCCAACTGGCCACGCCCAGCCAATGGGCCACACCCACCCAACTGGCCACACCCAGCCAATGGGCCACACCCACCCACCCGGCCACGCCCAGCCAATGGGCCACACCCACCCACCTGGCCACACCCAGCCAATGGGCCACGCTCACCCAACTGGCCACACCCAGCCAATGGGCCACGCCCACCCACCTGGCCACACCCAGCCAATGGGCCACACCCACCCACCTGGCCACACCCAGCCAATGGGCCACACCCACCCACCTGGCCACGCCCAGCCAATGGGCCACACCCACCCAACTGGCCACACCCAGCCAATGGGCCACACCCATCCAACTGGCCACATCCAGCCAATGAGCCACACCCACCCAGCACTCGACGATGCATAAGTGGGTTTTGGGTTGCAGTTTGGGCACTCAGTCTCTAAAAGGTTCGCCATCACTGCCCTAGTTTGTCTCCAGCACCCTTAGACTTTCGGAAGAGGAAAAGAATAAACTTTTTTATTTAATCCAGGTGTGCAGTTTGCCTAGACCAGAATTCCCCCAACCTTGGCCCCTTGACGACTGGTGGACTTCAACTCCCAGAATTCCTGAGCCAGCTATGCTGAGGAGAAATGGAGAAGTTTCCATGCTGAGCCATGCTGGCTCAGGAATTCTGGGAGTTGAAGTCCATGAGTCATGAAGGGGCCATAGTTCCCCCATGCTGGCTCAGGAATTCTGGGAGTTGAAGTCCACGAGTCACGAAGGGGCCACAGTTCCCTCATGCTGGCTCAGGAATTCTGGGAGTTGAAGTCCACGAGTCATGAAGGGGCCATAGTTCCCCCATGCTGGCTCAGGAATTCTGGGAGTTGAAGTCCACGAGTCACGAAGGGGCCACAGTTCCCTCATGCTGGCTCAGGAATTCTGGGAGTTGAAGTCCACAAGTCATCATCTGGCTAAGGTTCGGGGAACCCTGGCCTAGAGCCGTGTTTCCCAACTATGGCAACTTTTCAGATGCTGGCTGGGGAATTCTGGGAGTTGAAGTCTTCAAAGTTCCCTGGAATAAAGCTGGACCATTTTTGCTGACAGTGGTTTCCCTGCCAAGGGCAATCTGCCACCCTCATTCATCCCTTCTGTGTTCTAATTAATGCTCTGTTTCGTCCCCCCATTCCTTTCCCTCTTGACCCTTTTAGCGGAGAAGGCAGCCACATCTCCGGCCAGAGCAACGGCCGAGACCCTCAAGCTCTCGCCAAGGCTGTGCAAGTTCATCAGGACACTTTACGTACCATGTACTTTGCTTGAAAGCCCAACATTTTTACCTCACTCCAGAAAGCTTTCCGATTTGTAGGAGCCATAGAAAGAAAAGAAAAAGAAAGAAAGAAAGAAAGAAAGAAAGAGAAGAAAGAAAGAAAGAAAGAGAAGAAAGAAAGAAAGAAAGAAAGAAAGAAAGAAAGAAAGAAAGAAAGAAAGAAAGAAAGAAAGAAAGAAAGAAAGAAAGAAAAAGAAGCAAAAGAAAGAGAAAGAAAAAAGAAAGAAATGAAGCATTGGAGCACCTGGTGGTTATCCAATGGAGAGATCACTGCAGGCCGTGGACAAAACATTTCTAGGAAACAACCCGTGTTTTCCAGGGTCAATGCAGGAGAGCTGCTTAACTGGATGGACACACCTTTGTAGTATTAAAACGAGGGACTTTCTGTTTTTCAGGCTTTCCAGTTATCTGACCAAACAAAACGCAAAATGTTGAAACCGAGGGAGGGAATCTGTCTTTCAGTTTTAAAAACAAACAAACAAACCAAACAGGTTTTCATCGCTGGGATGGTGGGCAGGAGAGACAGGAGACGCAATAGTAGACTTCTGACTGTGAAATGAGAAGAATGCCAGTTCTTTAATGCCCCAAATCAAAAATGCTGTTTCTTATTGGTTCAGGGTCGGGTGGAGGGGGGAAGGGGAACTTGTAGAGCCTTAAACAGATGACTAGATTTATAAAAAACTAATATTTTAGGATACAAAATGCTTTAATTGGCGAAGAAGAAGACGAGAAGCCAGTCGTTTATAGATGAATTTTAACACTCCTCCACAGAAGAAAAGAAATGAATTTTTTTTTCCTCCCCTTTCTGTTTACTAATGGTGTAAGGTACCCGCAGCACTTACCACAAAGGGAAATTTGTCTTCCGTCTGTTTAAAAAGTGAGTTGGCTGCTAACCCTTTTAATGCGGCACAAACACACCGTGGGCGAGTGCCTTACTGCAATGCTGCAAAAACGTTGACATTTTTTTTTTCACCTTTCAAACTGAAAAGGAAAAACAAAAAAGAAGAAAGAAAGGAAACCAACAATGCTCTTGATTTGACTCGGTGTGGTCCAGATCTCTAGCTTGAAAATGTCTGGGTTTTGGGTTTTTGTTGATGTTCACCAAGCATACCATTTCATGTTAGCTCACAGCCTTGTGGTGGATTAAAATTCTGTGCACTTTTATCCCGACATAGAAATTTGGACAACTGCTGATGATAAAACCTGCTCTTTTTTTTTTTAAATGAGATGAATTGCAATTGGTTGAATTGCTTCTGATGGTGTGGTGAAATTTTTGTGTGGTGAAATTCCCTCCCCCTCCTTTTTAATTTAAAGAACGCTGCGTTTCTGATGACCAGGGTGTGTGTAAAAGGAAGAATGTTTTTGTCTGCCCTGCAAGCACAAAAAAAAAAAAAAGAACTCTGCTATCAATTCATGTCCTGATTTTTTTTAATATATGGATGAAATTTTTTATTATCAAGTATTTTTATACGATGCCGAGTCTATTGCCAAAACTTACACTCCAATTCTCAGTGTTTACATCATCTTCCTCCTTTAATCTCCGACAATATTTGGGAATATTTTTTACAGCTCACCACAAAAGCTCAAATTGGAATTATATCAAAGAAGATTTACCGGTGGCTGAGTTTCCCAGGAACGGCCCAGCCACTCCAGAATCTTTGTGCCGTATAGTGAAGGAATTATGATTTCATCTATTGCAGTTGTGTAACTCCAATGTCTCCCAATGTCTGCCTTCTGCTGATTTTCTATCTAGCATGACAGGAAAGATGGACCTAAACCAAGCCTTGCTTCTCCAGCTTGAGATTAGAACATTAAAACGCACTTTGATGTTGTCTGTAGAAACGGCTCCTGATTTTCTAGGGATAAAACAAAACCACCCTTTTACCCATGGCTGTGAATTCCTGTTTTCCTTCCTGCTACAAACATCTTGAATAGGAAAGATAGGAACTATCCTGGCCCATGCTGGCCCTTTGCAATCTGATTTTGGCTGTTTTAGCTCAGAAGGAAGCCTATCCCATAAGTTGTCTCCAAATCACATTGTCGCATCAGAGTGTTATCTTTGGAATGCCAAAGTGAGCTTTCAACATCAGCCACAGCGTAAGATCCCATCTCTGCCATAGAGCTGTACGACTCTCTTGTAGTGTTTGTCATACACCCCCCCCCCGCCCTTTGTGGGGTGAGACTTGTGGACTGTGTGCTTCCAACTTCCAAGTTCAGTGTCAGATTTCTTCTCTTTGTTTTTAGGCCTTATCTCCTCTCCCCCCCTCCCTCCCCCCAACCCTCCCCCACTTCACCACATCCCACAGGCGAGAACGTGAACCCATCCGAAAGCTATGCAAACCAACAGGCCACTCAGAACAGAACCCAGCTGGGTGCTTTGCAGTTTGATTGTGAGTTTGTATTCTTTAACCACAATGCTAGCAACTGCGGTGGGAATGCACCAGCTTGACAGTGGAGGTGGAAATTTCTGACATGGTGCTGTATCTCATCTGGCCTCTGAGCAATTTCTCTGTGGTTCTCCTTAATGTGGATGGAGCTGGTTGATCTTTCAAAGATGAATAATGCAGATTGTGGGTTCAGCGATCCTCCCTCCCTCCCTCCCTCATCCATCCAACTCCTTCCTTCCTTCCACCCTCCCTCCCTCCCTCCCTCATCCATCCAACTTCCTTCCACCCTCCCTCCCTCATCCATCCAACTTCTTCCTTCCACCCTCCCTCATCTATCCAACTCCTCCCTCCGTCCCTCCCGCATCTATCCAACTCCTCCCTCCATCCCTCCCGCATCCATCCAACTCCTTCCTCCCTTCCTCATCCATCCAACTTCCTTCCTCCCTTCCTCCCTCCCTCATCCATCCAACCTCCTTACTTCCTTCCACCCTCATCTATCCAACTCCTCCCTCCGTCCCTCCCTTCCTCATCCATCCAACTTCCTCCCACCCTCCTTCATCCAGCCAACTCCTTCCTCCCTCCCCGTCTCATCTATCCAACTCCTTCTTTCCTTCCTTCCTTCCTTCCTTCCTTCCTTCCTTCCTTCCTTCCTTCCTTCCTTCCTTCCTTCCTTCCTTCCTTCCTTCCTTCCTTCCTTCCTTCCTTCCTTCCTTCCTTCCTTCGACTTAGCTGCTTTGGCATTGTTTTGCCCCGGGCACCTGCTCTCAAACTGAAGCATGAAGAACGAAAGCCAACATTGCTTAACCAAGTGCCTGCGTGGCGAACTCCCCTACCAGCCTTCATCCAGTCCCTTGTATATGATCATTGCTTGCCTCTCCCCTTCTCAGCTTTTGCGTGAAAATGCATTTACAAAACAAAACCAGAATAACATTTTTGAGTTTTTCTCGGTGTCTCTTCGCCCCTTCTGCCTCTTTCTGCCTGGAGTAGGTTCTCACCTTCGACACCAGCACTGAGACTGCGACAGTAAAGCATTTTTGAGCAAGAATAAATGACTTTTGGGCATTTGCAGAATGGGGAACGTTGGGGGGGGGGGACAAGAGAATCTGAAAGAAACTTGGAGCTTTGACAAAACCACAACAGCCAACGCTTTCAAACCAACACCAAACCTCCAGGACTTGAATCGTTACCAGTGGACCCCCTTTTCAGGTTTTTGTTTTGCACTCCACAGTTAGGTTTTGCTGCTTTTAACGGAGGGGGTCTGTGGCATGATTAAGGGGATGTGAATGGCAAGCGCTTTCCTCACCCGATCTGACCCCATTTCCTCACCTCCCCCCACCTGGTGCATGCAGAGTTTTCACAAAGTGCCGTAAATAATGTGTAATTGCTGCAACCTCTTTGAAACCATATTTTCTAAGTTCGGGGCGATTTCCTCCCCCTCTTTTTCTTTTCTTTTCATTTTGATGTTTTAAGAACTGGGCTAACCACCCCTGCATGTGCTACGTAACACAAGCTACCTGTTGCATTCCTGCTTCGCTTGGGCCAAACCCTCTTCTGCCTTTTTGGAGGGTCCGAGAGTGCACCCCAAAGGGGGAACGGTTCTCTGCTTCAGCTTCTTCCTCCGTCCCTAAGTGTGGCTGTTGCTGCTGTTGTTGCACAATGCACGGGTGTTTCGTGAGATCTGCAAAACAATAATAATAAAAAAAACTGTTTCGGGATATTTCGCCTTGCACCTTAACCTGTGTTCCTTGTAATATGCCTTCTCCCCCCCCCTCCCCTCCTTCTGTGGTTGGAAACGTTGCTGACTTCCCACAGGTGTGGATGAGGGACGGGGAGGGGGGGGCGTGAATGCATCATACAAATGTAGCTACCAGTTATTGGATTTTTGTTTATGATTATTTTTAATTTTGCCTGCACTGCTGCTTGTTCCGAAGGACTGCTCAGATCTGAACAAAGGAAAAGGGAGTGGGCGGATAAGGTTCCAAAAAGCAAGAAGAAATGTAAAATAAGGCCCGATGGAAGACTGGAGTCCAGTGGTTTGAGCGGTGGGCCCTGGTACCACGTTCGAAGCTGGCATCCCAAGGACCTGGATTCAAAACCAGCCTGGCTTGTGGGATTCAAGGATTCCAGTTGGCGAGGGGAACTTTTTTCTCTGCATCCTGGATGTTTACAGTAAAGATGGCGTATCTCAAGCATTAGGTCAGTATTTCTCAACTGTGGCCACTTGAAGAACTGGCTGGGGATTCTGGGAGATTAAGTCCCAGAGGTTGAGAAACACTGATCTAGGTTTGTGATAGTGGTAAATATCTGTGGCTCAGGTGTAGGATGAGGGTGGAGATGCGTTCTCTGAGCTTACAGATGGTTTTCTGAAAGTTAAATTACAAGGCTAGATAACGTCTTCGGCAGAACTTCAGGAATCTCGGTGTTCTGCTTAAAAGGGCTTCGTGTGGCTCCAACACATTTCCACCTACTGGCCACACAAAAGCCTTCTAAGTAGAAGAACACCAACCTTGTTGGTTGCGAAGTCGTGTCCGACCCCTCGCAACCCCAAGGACAATGTTCCTCCAGGTCTTCCTGTCCTCTACCATCTTCTGGAGTCCATTTAAGTTCACGCCTATTGCTTCAGTGATTCCATCCAGCCATTTCATTCTCTGTCGTCCCCTTCTCTTGCCCTCCATCTTTCCCAGCATCAGGCCCTTCTCCAGTGAGTCCTTCCTTCTCATTAGGTGGCCAAAGTCCTTGAGTTTCTGCAACTTCAGGATCTGGCCTTCTAAAGAGCAGTCAGGGTTGATCTCCTCTAGGACTGACCAGTTTGATCGCCTTACAGTCCAGGGGACTCGCAGGAGTCTTCCCCAGCACCATAGTTCAAAGGCTTCCATTCTTTGGCTCTCAGCCTTTCTTATGGTCCAACTTTCACATCCATACATTGCAACTGGGAAAACCACCAACACCAACACTGACATTCCCCAAACTCCGCTGAAGAGGTTACTTAGCCTGGTAACGAAATGTTCGGAAACCAACCCACACGCTCGGAGAACGCACCTCCACCTAGGTGTTGCTGGATTCCAGTGTACATCATCTCAACCCCATAATCTACGCTGGGTGGGGATTATGACAGTTGGAAACCAGCAATACCTGGAAAGCGAGAAGTTCCCCCCCCCGTTCCTGAGCTAGGGAAAAATTCACTTGAGAAGTTTTAAGTGGAAGTATAGGGATTTATTTTTCCCCCATTTGGTGGTTGCTTCAGAACCTTCTCCAGGACTTTTGCGTTCTGCTCCAAATATCCGTAATTGGGTGCAAATGCCTTTCTGAGGTCTGTTTCTACATCTTTAAACAGTGCCAGGGGCTTTTGTCTGAAAGAGCAGTTTCTTCCCCCCCCCCCATCTGTTGAAAATTGTACAAAATGTTTTTTTTCCCCTCCTAAAGATTGTTCTCAAAAGAAAAGTTACTGATTCTTTTTTTTTTTTCCTTTTTGCTTCTTTGTTTTTTCCTTACCATTTTGGGACCAATGAAACAACCACTGTCCATAAAATGCTGACGTTGTAGAAAAGATGCAACTTCCAGTACTTTTTTTTTTCTTCTTCTTCCTCTTCCTCCGTCCCTCCCTTTTATTCAAGTGTTAAAAGCATCTTGGCAGCCCAGTGCAAACTTGTTGTGCTGGTTCTCTCTGGTGAGAGCCACACAGCAGAACAGCAATAATAATAATAATTTTAAAAAAAGAAACAAAACCCGTATCACACATGCGCATGTAATTTTGCACTTCTAAATAATTGTGAAAGTTTTAAACTGACGGCAATTCTAGTCTATGTTCAAAACAGTTTTTTTTTAACCTGTTACAAGGAAGTGTGGATGTGTAAATACAGAATGTTCACAAAACACATCTGCCTGTGTAGCCTTGATTTGTGTGTGTGTTTGTGTTTATTTGAAATTGAGCATTGCATGTGCTGTTTTATTAAGTGGGTTTAAACTATTGCTGCATAACCTTGATCGACAGTAGTAAACTATGGGCTTAATTTGATTTTTTAATAATAATAATAATAATAATAATAATAATAATAACAACAGCATATCTTTCTATAACCATCAGAAATGCAACAATAAGGGGGTGAAACAGGACATAACAAAGAGAGGAAACAATGCTATATTGCAAAACTGGAGGGTTAGTTTTATTTTGTTTTTACTTTCTTCTAGGACACTTATTCCATTCATCTTTTAGGTAGGCTAGGATTGCAATTGGCAGAAGCTTTGTACTGGCTGGGAGTTGTAGTCTTATGGTACATGAGGTGCAGCTGCTTGGTGACGATTGGTTTAGTACAGCATGGCTGGCTCAGGGGTTGTGGGAATTGAAGTCCACAAGTCATAAAGGGGCCACAGTTGCCCACCCCTGGTCTAGTATATCAAAGAATATTTCTGCACAATCTATTCTTTGTGTGTCTGTGTGTGACCTTTGCATCAGGTGCTTTCAAATGACCTTGTTCTCTTTGGAATGTCTATAAATTATGCTGGTAATCAGATGGGGAGTAGTATAAATCAAGAGGCCAATAACTCTATGAACTATAACACTGTAGATCAGAAAGGAGTTGCAAGATAGGCTTTGGTTGAGTTGCTAGTATTGTCTCAGTCCAGTTGGCCAGGCATTAAGTTCTAGAATGGGGGTCTTCAAACTTGGCTCTTTTATGACGTGGACTTCCAACACATGCCTGGCTGAGGAATTCTGGGAGTTGAAGTCCACAAGTCATAAAAGGGCCAAGTTTGAAGACCCCTGTTCTAGAACGATTGCAACCTGGAGAAGAGAAAATGAGTTGGTACTACAAAATTTTGTTATTTCCAGTGAAAAATCTTCCCTTCCTCCTTCCTTCATTATTTGCCTCCAGAAGTTGTAAATGCTCCAACACTGGAAGTTTTAAATAAGAGATTGATCAATCATTTGTCTGAAATGGTATAGGGCAGGGGCCTTCAAACTTGGCCCTTTTATGACCTGTGGACTTCAACTCCCAGAATTCCTCAGCCACCATGCCTGGCTGAGGAATTCTGGGAGTTGAAATACACAAGTCATAAAAGGGCCAAGTTTGAAGACCCCTGGTATAGGGTTTCCTGCCTGAGCAAGGGGTTGGACTAGAAGACCTCCAAAGTCTAGTCTATTCTATTCTATTCTATTCTATTCTATTCTATTCTATTCTATTCTAGCCCAGCCCAGCCCAGCCCAGCCCACTTCACAAGGTTGTTGTGGACAAAATAGGAGGAGGAAAGTATTTTAGATATATTCACCACCTTGAATTATTTGCAGAAATAATAAAGGTGGGATATAAATAATAAACTACTTCCCCCCCCCAAATTGGCAGGGCAAACTACTGCATATAAACCTCACACTGACTTGCACTGATAATGTTACCTACCTTCCATCTGCAAGGAAACAACCAAGTCAGAGAGGAAGAACTCAATGATATAAATTGTATTTATATCATTGTATGCATTTCATTTTTGCTTTAGATTTGTTTCTTGATTAATTTTATTCTGATGCTTTCAGCCCATTTCTCTTTCCAAAATTGCTTTAATTGTTATTTCCAGAGTTAAATCATCTCTTTTCCCTTAATCTGCAGATTTGATCAGTATTCCTTTTTTATTTTTTTATTTTTGAACCAACGAAACAAAACAAAATGAAACAAAACATAACACACATACACACACAGTATATACTCCTCCCCCCTTTTTTAACAGCATTGATCAGTATTCCAATAGCCATCCCAGTCACTGATATTACAAAAAAAAAAAAACCTGAATTGAGGTTGGAAGGGAAGGTACAGCAAACTATTGTACATGTACTGTACTGTATATGGTGTAGGGTTTCCTGCCTGAGCAGGGGGTTGGACTCGATGACCTCCAAGATCCCTTCCAACTTCATTATTATTATTATATTATCATTATTTGGTTCGTGCAATGTGTTAAATTAGCTTGTTCCATCCAGCTATGGTGAGAAAAAGAGAAGCAATTCCGGTTGTACAATTCAAATTCTCGCAGAGGCAGCTAGGATTAAAGAAGCCAATGTTAGGTAAACCCACTGCTCATTTAACTTTTGGTATTGCTGGTCATGAGTAAATAATTCAAGAGCACCCTAGATTCGAACTCGGAACTCTCAACCCCTGGATCACCCGCCAACAAAATGATTTAAAAAAAAACAAGAGCCCGCTTCATCCTCCTTTGCTAGGAGCCCCGCCCCTTCGTCGCTCTTGGAGGAGCGGCCCAGCAACAGACTCGCGCGTGCGTAGTGAGCCAGGCGAGTGAAGCGCGAACTTGCGCGGGAGGAAGGAATTGTAGAGACAGCAGAAGTCTTGACGTCGAGGAGGGACTTCCGGCGGCCGGAACAGAAGTTAAAGTACGCGTGCGTGCTACCCTGTTGTTTTGTGAGGCGTATAGACCGTCCCTCTCTTCTCCTCCCGCAGGCACGCAGGAAGGCTGAAGAGCAGCTGCTAACCAAAGAGTCGAGAAGGGAGGGGTTTCCGGACCGAGCGGGGGGAAAAGAGTGCGGTGGCGCATGCGCGCGCCCTCAAACGGCGAAGACCGCTCTCCTCAGAGCTGGGCTCCTTCGGGTCCCTCAGTCGGTCGGCGGCGGAGCAGCGGGCGAGCTGGGCTGCGGGCGGCCACGCCATTTCCGCCTGCTTGGCCACCTCCGGAGCCCGCAGCTGGACGAAAGGCCGGGTTGGGCTGAGGCAGGAGCAGCAGCAGCGGCGCAAGAAGAAAGGGCGACCCGACTTCGGGCTGCGAGGCAGAGAAGGAGGAGGAGGAGGAGGAGAAAAAAGATCCGCCGTCTCCACCGCCGCCCCCTCAGGCCCGGCCGGACCGGACCGGGACGGCGCGAGCTGAGGAGGAGGAGGAGGAGGAGGAAGAAGAACCGGAGCGCTCCCCCCCCCATCCGACAGAGCGGCCGCGCCGAGTCCATGAATGGAAATCGGCAGCGCAGGTGAGGCAGCGGGGTTGCCTGGGGCGGGGCGGGGGCCTTCGGACCCGGAGAGGAGATGAGGAGGCCTCGTTGCTCCCCGCAAAGCGCGAGAGGGCGAGGGGCCCCTTGGGGACCCCCTGGCTTCTCCTAGGACAGGGGTAGGCAACCTGGGCTCTTTGATGACTCGTGGACTTCAACTCCCAGAATTCCTCAGCCAGCATGGGGGAAACTATGGCCCCTTCATGACTTCTGGACTTCAACTCCCAGAATTCCTCAGCCAGCGTGGCTCAACTTGGAAATTCTCCCTTTCCCCTTAGCATGGCTGGCTCAGGAATTCTGGGAGTTGAAGTCCACCAGTCATAAAAGAGCCAAGATTGCCTACCCCTGGCCTAGGATTAGCCTTCGTGTCTTGGCTGCTCTTCAGAGCGGAGGCAGGATTGGGCTGTTCAGCTTCAACTGGGGATCCAAGAGGGGTCAATATCGACCACCAGAAAGGACTGTCCAAAAGGTCTGCAAATGACTTGAGTATCCAAAGAAAGTCCCAGTGAACAGGTGGGGGTTAACAAGGGGTCGATATTTATTGTTGTGAGTTGCGAAGTTGTGTCCGACCCATCGCGACCCCATGGACAACGTTCCTCCAGGCCTTCCTGTCCTCTACCATCTTCTGGAGTCCATTGAAGCTCACGCCTGCTGCTTCAGTGACTCCATCCAGCTACCTCATTCTCTGTTGTCCCATTCTTCTCTTGCCCTCCATCTTTCCCAGCATTGGGCTCTTCTCCAGTGAGTCCTTCCTTCTCATCAGGTGGCCAAAGTACTTGAGTTTCAACTTCAGGATCTGGCCTTCTAAAGAGCAATTAGGGTTGATCTCCTCTAGGATTGACCAGTTTGAACACCTTGCAGTCCAGGGGATTCACAGGAGTCTTCTTCAGCACCAAGGGGTCGATATAAGGGATCGTAAATACTATCATGAGACAAGGGGTCAATAAGTGGTTTAAAATAGGAAGCGGTATTTGGTATGTTTGCTGCCTTGAGTTATTTTTATGGTGGGTTATACATAAATGATTAGGGTCTGATTCTTTTAGGGTCTCCACTGCCTAGTCTTGCAGGTGAGGTGCCTGGTGTTGGGGCAGAATTACCCAGGATTGGATAGACAGCTGCCAGCGAGAATGGCCCTGAGGTGTCTCTATTAATTGCTACTATTAATAATAGTACTATTAAAGTAGTATTTATTAAATTTTCATATGTTTGGGGGTCAATAAGCAATCTGAAACTTTACGAAGGCATTGGTGAGTTGAAGAGTTGAAGCAGCCCTGACCTCCCAAACTGGTGCCATCCAGCTGTCTGATGCTAAATGCTCCCCAGTCCCACAATCCTTTACTGTGCTGGCTGAGAACTATGGGAATAGCAATCTACCCCCCATCCTTCTGGAGGACATAGGTTGGGGAAGGAGCTAAAATGAGAGGGTGGATGAGTAGACTTTGAGGATATAGGGCAATGGGGATTGTGTATAATAACAGTTGAGAAGGCGGTGGAGTTTCATGCTTACATTTGGACTGGGAGATAAGGTGACTGTTCAGGCTTTGTGGAGCAGTCCTTACCTGTTAAAGCAGTGTTTCTCAACCTTGACAATTTTAAGGCATGTGGACTTCAACTCCCAGAATTCCACAGCCAGCATTGCCGGCTGTGGAATTCTGGGAGTTGAAGTCCACATGCCTTAAAATTGTCAAGGTTGAGAAACACTGTGTTAAAGGAACATTGTATTACCATGAAATAGATCTGCTGTACATCTCCTTTTTATTAAATGACATGTTCCATTAACTATGGACTTGCAAACTAGGGACTGTTGAGATAGTTGAATGAAGAAGGTGATCAGGGTTTTCTTATGCTTTGGAAGTAGATTGGTACAGGACATTGTTTTTCAACCTAGCATCTTAAAAGTGGGCAATAGAGTTCAACTCCCAGAATCATCCTCCAGCATAGTGTTGAAAAGCACTGGTTTACCCAAACACCAGTCATCCAGTCTTGACATATGTTAGCTTGTCATCATTTCAGTAGCATGAAGATGAGGTATTTTTGTGGCAGTGAGGATCCCTGGATATAGTAATGGTGAGGGGCACTTAGTATCTTATCATTATTCTAAGGATGAAAACTGAAATATTTTTAGAAGAAACAGTCTTTGTGTTCTGAAAAAGATACTTTAATGTATGCTACAGCTTCTTATACCCTATTACCTGAAATAAAAAAAAATTGCATCAGATGGTTGATTCATTGGGAAAAACCTACTTATTCCACCTGAAAATTGCATTTTCTGTTACACGTTGGTAGGCATAGGTATTGGTCAACCTAGTGTAATACATTTAAACATCAATACTATATTAAACACAAAGGTTGCTGAAATTCTGTGGAACCGTAAAAGCTAATCTCACTTAACTGAAATAAATTGGCGAAATCTGCTTAAATGCTTTAGGTACGATTGCTCAAAATTTAGGAATAGTTTGATTAGCTGACTTGAGAGATTTTGAAATGAGAATAAATCTGATCTCTTTCTGATTCTCAAACATGCTTAGAAATAATGTACCTATTATTGGATGGATAGCTAGAACTACTTGACTTTTGATTGAGTTTTGAAGACCTTAACTAATGTATAAATTTCAATGTATAATGGAATAAATAAAAATGATGGCAACTGCTTTCTTCAGTTATCACTTTAAATCAATTGTTTAATGAAGAGACAGCTTTCTTTTTAAGTTATCAACATGACAGCTGACATAGTTGCACAAAAACTGAAACTTCATAGTTATTCCTGCAATTACAAATCTTTGGCATTATTTAAATCACATAGTCCAGATTAGTCACTAGCAACATTGCCTAATAGAGGAAATATTTAGATTTTCAATTGTGATCATCAGTCACATCATTTGTTTTCAATTCATGATTTTGATCATAGATTTCAACGTTATCCTTTTCTGCAATGATAGATGGACTTTTAATATTTGTTCATTCACAGCAACTAAACTATTTTGAAGTTAGTTTCCTTACGATACGATACATATGTAGCGTGACTATTGGCAACTAATTGGGAGTCACACTTTGAAAAATGTGACACTGCACGACCTAGTTCAACCCATTAATCCATAAACAATACTTTACAAACATCACTAAGCCAAAACCAACAATCCATATTATAATGTAGCATAGCAAACTGTATGAATCAGGCCACGGTCTACAGTATTGAGTAGCCACTGATTTCATCCTAGAGCAGTGGTTCTCAACCTTTTTAATGCCGCGATCCCCAACCGGTCGTAAGTCGAGGACTACTCAACTGGTGCAGCACCATTTGCAGAATGGGACTTTTGGCGGGCTCAGCAGGACAGAGACAGCCTGGACAATTCCTATTGGCTTTTGAAAGCCAATAGAATTAGACTCTATTCAAGAGAGTCTATTCTATTGGCTGTCAAAAGCCAATAGAATAAAAGGGAGCAGCGCAGCTAAGGAAAAGGGGGGGAAAATGGCGGACTGCGTTGTTTGGTGACCCCCGTGAAATGGTCGTTCGACCCCAAATGGGGTCCCGACCCACAGGTTGAGAACCACTGTCCTAGAGGGATAACCTTTGCCGTATATATGTTGGATTTTTGTTTTCATACTTTAGGACAGGGGTAGGCAACCTTGGCTTGTGGACTTCAACTCCCAGAATTCCTGAGCATGGATGGCTCAGGAATTCTGGAAATTGAAGTTCAGGAATCATAAAAGAGCCAAGGTTGCCTACCCCTGCTTTAGGACATTGCCGGGTCACATCCAGAATTTGATGTTTAATTTCCTAACTGGATTTGTATTTTAGCTTTATTTTTTTTTAAAAAAAAATAACCCGCTGTTAGTTAGAAAAAAATCCACAAAAATGCACATGGAGAGTTGAAATAGCGCTAGAGCCCTCTTCCTCCTCTTCCATCACTTTGATCATTGACCAATAAAATGTATTATTCAATTTCTCTAGTCCATCTCAGTCCAATTAACTTTTTTAAAAATTTGTTTTTAATACTAAATTTTAAAAATTCCATTGTGCCAAACATTCTAATCCATATGCTATCGGAATAAAATATAAAAATGTGACACCAATGTGATTATATATATAATTAAGATTAATCACCTATGTAGTTTTATATTATATCTGTACAACTGGTATTATGGACGTATTTAAATCTATATAAAATAGCGAAACATATAGTCATCAATATAAATGTCTAAAACACGATAGAAACAGTAAAATCTGTTTTATTGCAAAGGTGAATTTTAATACTGTGTCTGTAAAACTATGTTGCAAAAATTTAGGTGGAACACAGATGCGTCCAGAAATGTAGAGACTGAAACCTAAAATAACCAAGAAAAATAAAGAGTGATGGACCTTGCCTAATCACATTAATGGCTCCAGTGCCCATGAGTATAAATCATGGCAAATGGGAGTAAATGTTAGAGCCGGTAAAGCTCCTATAAAAATTAAAAAAAATGGTAGCAAAACATGCTTAATATATGTTGAAAAACAATAGAAATTGTTTAATGTTATTAGAATTGTGACTCTGTATCCTGGTGAGTTTCTTGGGCTGCTTAACTAAGCAACCCTTAACATAGCAACCCTCCTGCGACTCGAAAAAAAAACCCACAATATTATGATTTTATATACATAAATAGTTACAAGGGTTTTTCTATCCAAATTTCCTTTATGCTGAGGTTTCCACCATTTCTTTCAAATCCTCATTAGCTGCTGTTATTACTGTTCAATTCTCAGAGACTGCTTGGGCAAGTCCCCGTAATTTCTTGGCAAGGTTTTTCAGAAGCAGTTTGCATTGCTGCCTCCTACGGCTGAAAGAAAGTGCCTGGTCTACAGTCACCCAGCTGGCTTTGTGCCCAAGGCAAGACTAGAACTCACAATCTCCCAGTTTCTAGCTGATGTCTTAATCACTGCACCAAACTGGCGCTCGGCTATTATTATCACCTTTAATGCTCCCAGTAAATCTACAAAAGTTGCA